TCTTTTCATCTCTATAGCTACTTTTTACAGAGCAGTATGTACCTCTCTTCCACTGGCAAACTCTCTACTACTGCCTTTTTAGTCTTTGTTCTTGCTTATTCAGATGTAAATGTTGCTCCCTTCCCCACCCCAGCACTGAAAGACAAAATATTTCTAAACCGTTCTTCAAAAGTAAGTAATTCAATCATGTTTAATCATTTGGTTACTTTTCTTTAATTTTTATGTAATGCTCTTGTGGTCTGAGGAGTATCTAGCAGTGCATTCAATATTATTCAAAAGGAATTTCTCTGTCTTTTGTAGAAAAAAAAGGTTGTCACTGCTTTTGGTGATGTCAAAGTGTTTTTCAACATGAAACCAAAATATGCCTGGTATTTTAGTTTTCATATGCCAGAATAGGTATATAAAGTAGCTATTTCATCATCTCGTATTGGTTGACATGGCAGGCTATTAAGTTTATTGCACATTTAATGTAATACATTATCACCTCCAAAAGATTTTCCTTCTATTTTTTTTTGTTTCTTTTTATTTTCTTCTATATCTTAATAAGGGAGATATGAGATTGCTTGTCATCAGTGGTAATTGTTTGTTCTCCAACACAAGAACTAGCATAGAGCTTCTTATAGGAATACTTCCTAGCTTGCTGTTTTGACAGTGGAAACCCTTTTCTCTGAAGGAGTCTTAAGGAATACTAAGACAGCAGTCCTAGATACAAAGCCTATCCTTACATCCAAGGCTATTACTGAAAGTCCTCAGTATTCTTCTTGAAATACCATAATGTGATATGTAAAAGAATTACCGTTTTAATACTCAACCTGATTTGGACAACAAACCATCCTAGCGGTTGTGTGATTATACACAACCTCAGTGACATGGTGAAATCTGCCATTGAAGAAAAATGACATGTTTTTTCCTCTGAAAACAGATGAGTTAACTTTGTAATGTTGAATTTAATATGTTGGGTCACATCTGCTAAAAGATTATTACACTACAAGGAGGAAATGGATAATTTATTAAAATACCCCTGCAGGGAAATAGCAGGCTATCTGGTTAATATAGAGGAATGCTTGATGGTTACACTGAAAGCTCCCTAGTGAATCCTTTAACATAGGAGTAGAACGGGAGATGAAAATGATTGCTCGTTATATAATGTTTACTGTGTTCTATTGGTGCCTAGCAGATGAATAATATTTATGTTAACAGCTCCTTTCAAGCTTTTTATATTGATCTCCCGCTGGTCTAGAGATGATATATAATTGTACTGAAAATAGTCAGATAATACTTCTTTGTAATGGAGGGTGGCAAAAAGGTTCTTCCAACACATCACCCAAGTTGGATATGAAGGGAAAGATATTGCATCTTTGTGCCACAAACTTTTAAGATTTTAATTTACTCTTTCTTCATGAACTATTTCTCATCTCCTTGTAAATTCAAATGAACAGCAGAAACAGTGTCCCACAGGGCACAGGCAGTAAGAGTTTCTTTGTGGGTGGGAAAGCTGCTTTCCTTTGCCTCAAAGGAACCTTACTGTTGCCATGCTTACTGAGTTTGGGAAGGACCAAGAGACTTTGTCTTGCCATGAATGCTGAAAGCTAAAAAGCTGACAAAGAACTGTCCTGTCTTACTGAATACACAGTTCATGTATAACTCACCAGCCTTAGATAAAGATTTTCATTCATGCCATAAGAACTGAGAACTGACATTTTAGTTGGTGTTTACATTATTTCTCATGTCTATGTACAGCCTCCTATTTAGAGAACAGAAATGAAACCAGGTGTTTGGTGGTGATGTCCAGCTGGAAGGTTCTCAGATCATGTACTCAGAGGGACTGACATGCCTCAGTTTCCTGCTCACAACGAAGGACAGTTTCATATGGCAGCTAAGAGCTCAATGAAGCTAAAAAGTCCTTAGCGTCATTTGCTTTCATTGGTTCCTTGGGCTGATGTTTCTGGGTTCATCCACACTGCTGTTGAGAAAGCTAGGCTTTAGAAATAGCAATGGTTGCTTGAAAAACTGAGTTGGCATATTTTTAGAAAAGAAAAAAGAAAAGAAAACAAAACAAAGACAAAACCCAACAAACCTTTGGCATGTTATGGATTTTTCTTCTCAGGCCCAGTGATGTTGTGTAAGAAACTTCTGACCATACCTGTTAGTCACTGTGGACTCAAGGTTAGGGGTGGAGGGATCCTTGCTTTTGTGATAGGAGCTGGTTCTGTGAGTTTTACTGGATTCAAAGGGTGTGAACACTTGGAAGAGAGCCAGTGCTGTGCTCCTTAATTCTTATCATCATTTACTGCATGAAAATGCGGTAAAGACATTCCTTTCCTATTAAATGGATAATATTAAAGTAAGACAGAGCAAGACTGGAATAGGCCACAGATAGGAAAGTACTGCTTTCCGACTTCCTTCCTTGGGGAAGGAACAGCCAACATTAAAAACGTATGTGTTATGAAAAAACACAAAACAAAGCTCCACTTTGGTCAGTTTAGTTGCATGATAACTACATTCCCTAAATGCATTGTTGTGTGCTTCAGTATAAATGCTTGATTTCAAGTCATGGGTTACAATAAAACCTGAAGTGTTTAGGGGAGCAAAACCAATATATTGAAGTATGTTATGTGGTGGTTTATTCTGAAAAAATTGTAAACTCCTATATGTCAGATAGTTTTGGTGTTTTTTTGTTCTTAACTTCTTGGTATATAATCCAATGAAAGATTATGGTGCCTTCTATTATAAGAAGGATCAACAGGGATATAATAATCCTAATGCACTGCTGCTTTAGTACCTTTCCTTTGTAAATATTAATACATTTTTAGATTTAAAGCTTCATACGACCTTTGTGAATAAGCAAATGGAATTTGGTAGGATAACTTGAATTCTGTTTCCCTCCTGCCTCTGAAAAGCAATAGCATCTATTCAGCTATGCATACATACCAGTGCTGCAGAAGGGTTTAAAAAGGTAATATAAGAAAAATTCTCTCTGCACAGAGCTGTCCAAGTTCAGCATTGAATATGACAGTGAAAGTTTCACACCAAAAAGCCCAAAAGTAGTCAAGAGTGTTTTATTTTTCATCCCATACAGAAGCAGCTCAGACTTAGGAGATCCTCTCATGATTGGATGGACTCAGTATTGGTTTAGCATTAACTAAGGCATTGGTCTTTTCTGAGGTTTAACATAGATGACATGATTTGTCTGCCTAAGACTGTATGTAGGATCAGAGTCTCAGAGACAGTATCGTTTAAGGAATCACGAGCACAGCTTCCAGTAGTATGTGATGGCTCTTGTAATTCCTGAACAATGCATCTGAGGACTTGGGAAGCAGAATAAAACATAGCTAGTTACAATAACTTGTTATCCAAAATACTTGCTATAGCATTGCAGCAGTCTTGTGATGTTAAACTGTAGGATGTTTGGGTTTAGCTTTATGTGTACCAGTTACAACATTCCCTGTTTAAACGTATACAAAGAAAGAAATAATTTCATGCTATTAATGACTTATTCTCCATAGAGGGGGAAAAACAGTAATCTCTCATTAAAGCAAAAACATGTGCTACTGATTACATATATGTATAACTAGTAGTTACTGGTATCAACCAATACATATTTCCCCTACCTGTGTCAAAAAAGTTGGAGTCTTTTTTTCCTAATGAAATGCAAAATCAAAGTTAAGCTATAGCAAATGTGGAGAAAAGCAGTTACCTGCTGCCATATCCTTTCAGTAACATATTTGCATTTTTTAACAATTAGTTAAGAGTAGTTTGAGTATTGCATTAAGTATACTTAATGCAACCAAATAGACATTGTTTAAGAGTGAAGTGCTATGAAGTAAATAGCTGTTTAAATTGACACCATTTACTTCCATTTACTTTAAATGCAATTTACACAATTCACTTCAAGGCTGGTTTGCTACATGCTGCTTGTGCTCTGCTTCTGTGTGATAGCTTATTAAGCTGTAGAAACTTGATCACTTAGAGGTCTTGGTCTGACATTTCAGTGTTGAACTTGAGCTCAACAAGAACTCCCCTCTACTGAGTAACTATGATTTCTATGAACTCTTCTAATCACAGAATGACAGAATGGGTAAAGTTGGAAGGGATCACACTGGATCAACTGGTCCAACCTCCCTGCTCAAGCAGAGTCATCCTAGGGCACTTTGCACAGATTTGTATCCAGATGGTTCTTGAATATCTCCAGTGAGGGACACTCTACAGCCTCTCTGGGCAGCCTGTTCCAGTGCACGGTCACTCGCACAGTAAAGAATTTCTTCCTCATGTTCAGGTGGAACTTCCTGTGCACCATTTTCTGCCATTTGCCTCTTATCCTGTTGTCTCAAACCACCACACACCTCTGAGAAGAGCCTGACTCCATCCTTCTTTGCACCCTCCCTTCAGATACTTATAGACGTTGATTGATGAGATCCTCTCTCAGTCGTCTCTTTTGAAGGCTGAACAGGTTCAGCTCTCTCAGTCTTTCCTTGTAAGAGGGATACTCCAGTCCCTTAATCATCTTTGTTACCCTCTGCTGGACCTGCTCCGGGAGCTCCACATCTCTCTTGTACTGAGGAGCCCAGAACTGGACACAGCATTTCAGATGCAGCCTCACTAATTGCTCTAGGCAAAGAAGTAGACCTATATAGTCACAATATGTCCCAGTAATCATGTTTTTCATAAAACCATATAAATGTGGGAAAATAACAGTTCTCTTTGTTCTTCCACATCAACTGAACCATTTGGGGAAAAAAAAAAAATCCTTGACTGTTATGTGATGAAAGATTCTTTATCTAAAACTTGACTGCCAAGTCATTCAATTTGAATGACTGAAGTTTATTTTTCCATATAGGAATTTTTGATTGTAATAAGTAAGAAATCAGTTTCTTTTCAGTGTAATTTGAAACTACCTTATTTGGAAATCATGCACTTTACCAACACATTCCCTAGTTAAGCAGACAATTGCTGTAAAATGCAAAAGAAGTGATGAACTGTGTGTTTTTTAAATCTTCTAGCTAAAAAGAAGAAACCAAAGCTCTTAAACAAGTTTGATAAGACCATTAAAGCTGAACTAGATGCTGCAGAAAAACTACGTAAAAAAGTAAGTTTGAATGTTTTACTCAGGACTGTAGGCAATGGACAAAAATGATAAAAACTTAGATAAAGGGAGAATACCTTTTTGATTATTTTTTGTGAAATTAACTCTTTAAAATTAAATATTCAGTGCGTGTTTGTCCTTCAAATTTAACTTCTGCTGGATATTTCATTTAAATGTTTTAAAGTCATAAGTGTGTGTCTGTTCATGTATATTTGCTCACTGTTGACCTTGAAAATATTTAGCTTAACCATTAAATTTCTGCTTAAATTAATCACATGGAACAGGGTTAGTTCTGTCCTATCACTGTTGCCCATTTGAATTCTGAAGTCAACTCTTAACAGAGAACTTAATATGTGTGTATTAATATGGATCTCTCAGGAAGTGTTCATATGCCTCGGGAATGTTAGGTGCAGATCTTTGAAGTAGGTGTTGTTTCTGTTGGGATTCTGCGTGTGTTCTGTGTGTGTCTCTGCTGCCATACAGTTGCTCAGAGGACAAAGCAGATGTTCCTGCTTCTCACCAGTGGCAGCAAGACTTTTAACATCAGTCAGTCAGTTCGGGTAGTTCTGGATTTAATAACTTGACTGTGAAAAGCAAACAAACAAAAAAAAACCCAACAGAAAGCAAGCTCTTCAGAACCCCTTATAGGTTCCAATTTTGTTCTTTTATTTGAGTATTTCAGAAAATAATACCTTTGCAAAGATGCGAGATCCATTTTCCAGAAGCAAGATGAGATAGCAAAGCAAGACTGTGGCTGTTAGAGATTAGATGCCTTAAGTCTTTAGGATGTAAATCTTATAAAAACTCTGATATACCTCACTCACAGTCCTAGCGCATAAAGAACAACTGCAGGGTTTTGTTGTACCCTGTTGTACCCTGGCTTTGAAATGGATGAGCAAGGAGATATGCTATTTTCAGTACAGTACAATAAAGACCATTTTAGTCACTGCAGATGAAGGATTATTATTGATTTTCAGTATACTATGCCATTTTGACTTTATACTGCCATCTATGCAGCCCTAGAGTTCTGGTAGGTCTGTGACTGGACTGGAGGGCTATTAGATAGAGAGTACTGACCTCATGCTGCCACTGCTGTTCATCACTAGAAGCCTTCTTTACATGTTAGAATATAAAACCAAAAGGAATTTTCATGCTTCGTGTTACTTAAGCAATTGGTTAATCAGAGAAAGGCGTAGCAGAAATTTTTGCTGATCCTATAGGGTCAGGTTGCTGACTCTCTTTTCATGCCTGTGTCTCTTGGTAAGTTACAGATAGCCATGCGTGTCATGTAGGAATCAGGATAAATTTAGTAATAAATCAGACATGTCATATTTGAAGATAGCAAGGCAGTTGTGTGTAATAGCCCACTCATATATGTAAAGCTGTAAGAGCTGGAAGCGGCAGCAGGGTCTGTTGCCAAATATTGCCAAACAGTGCTTAGCACCTGTTTAGCAGTGTGGCTGGTTCTTCTCGACTTCCATCCATACTTGCTGGTCAACATCCATCATGAGAATACCACAGTTACGTTTGGACTTCATGTGAGACAGGGAAGGGACACAGAGCACGTGTGAAGTCTCTTGAGGGACATTGTTAAGCAAAAGATTTGGAGGAAACAGGCGTATACTATGGAGGAGTCTACAATGCTTGCCCTGGAAGACCTGTAGTTACAATGCTGTTCATCAAGACAGGTATGTGGAGAGAAAATTTCCACGTATGCCTAGAGCTTTCTTCCTATTCTGTGTTATATTCATTTTGGACTTCGTTATTAGCAGTAGAATCTTTACATTTTTTATATAGACAGGTTATTGTCATCTCAGCATTTTGTCCAGTCAACAAAGGGAAAGTGAGTAAAATAAAAAAACTTTTAATTTTAACCCTGGAAATTAGGTAATGTTGTTTCATAAATAATGACAATAAATTTCTCTAAAATAAGAAGGCAATCCTAACGAAAGTATGAGTGAAAACTGTGATTCAGAGTGCATTGCTTATTTTGTGTTTGTTTTTTAACTGTGGTAGCCAATGTCTTATTAGGTCCTTCATTCTCCAGCATTTTTATTAGATAGAATTGCTGATAAATATCTCTACTTTCCAGGGAAAAGTTGAAGAAGCTCTAAGGGCCTTTGAAGCACTAGTGAATCGATATCCACAAAGTCCTCGAGCAAGATATGGAAAAGCACAGGTACTTAAAAAATAAAAAACAAACAGAAACCAATAAATGTTAAAAAAGCTAAAATAAACATTTTTTTACCAATAGAGTTATAAACCCCAGTCAGAATTAATTTGTAAATTTATGGAGGTTTTCTATGCAATCTGTCATATTGTATCTCTTTCAGTTCACTATCCTTCCCCAATTACTTTGGCAGCTTTTGTCTAACTTTGGTCTAGTGGAAAGTATTGTAAATAACACAAAAATAAGATATGCCCTGTAGATCTCATAAGAACTGTCAGGTGAATGGTAAGAGATAAATCCCAACTAATGGCCCAGTGCAGGAACAACAGGCAGAACTTAGCTGTTACATACTGTTTGCTGTAACTGTTAAATCCACATGTCAGTCAGCTCTGGGATAAATGCTGCTTTTTGCTTAATGGGAATAGGGAAGAGGATTTGGAGTTTTTATGTAGAGAGTGTTAAAGGATAAAGAAAACAAATTCTTAGGCAAGGAGGCTTAATTAGCTGCCTTTTTTTTTTTTTGTGGAGAGAGTTGTGTTTCAGGTGTTCCCCTGAAAAAAAAAACCAACCAGAATGCATCATAAAATAAACTCTGCATTCATAGTACTTTTCACCTGTGTTGGGATGTCTCAGAAGAGAATAAACTTTGAATTTTCATAAGTACTAGGATAATCCTATTTTTTACTCCTACTAGGAGTAAAAAAAGACTACTTCAACACATGTTAATCAAAATGAACAAAGTTAAGCCCTTGCTGTAGGAAGGAATTGTGCTGTTAGACAATTAGTGAGGCACTTGAATTGCAGTCAACCAGTTTTCAGTTGGTTAATAATAGTCATACTAAACATCCAAAATACTGTCACACAAGCACTTGATGCACAGCAAAGCAAATCTTTGTCTTTGAAAAAAGGAAAATCAAATTTCCTAGTGAATGTGCATCAGAAAAAATAATTATTGCTTAAAACTGATTTCTGAAGGTGTCTCTGAAAGGTGCCTGATGAACTGTTTGGCTGAGTAACCATATTGTTTGGTGTTTCACATACTCAATTTAAAAGCAACTCAAGGAAAAAAAATTAAAGGACAGAAGTGCAAAGAGATTTCAGGTACTTGCTACAGGATATGCAGAAAACACAGCTGAAGCAGTTTCTTTTGCTACATATGTGAGTTTAAATAGACTAACAAGATCTTCTGCAACTGTAGTGCTTGCCATGCTCTGCAATTTGACTTAAGAAAGGACATAAGCCAATAAATATAGAAGTATTTGGGAAGAATGCATTAAACACATGGAAATACATGCATTTATACAAACAATTTAAAGTAAACCTTTAAAAATTCTGCATTTGAGACATAATCTTACTTTTTCAGCTGTTGAAGCAGATTATGAAAATGCCTTACCACAGGTGAAATCAGTCATAGATTCTGTTGGGTTCACTGAAGCTGTAATTTCACTGTAGAGAGCTCATATATCCTTTGACCTGCTTCTGAATTTGATGAGCCTGTTTAAGTTTTGAAAGAGTTGTAGGGTAGATATTCTATCAATATATGCTAGAGGAAAGGCAAGTCCTAATTCATCTTCTAAGACAGAATGTAAATAAATTTGTCAGAATACATGAAAAAAATGTTTGTTGGTGTGTTTTGATCTGTGCGTTGCTGCCAGAGTGAGGCTTCTTATACAAATACTCCATAGGCAAAATGTAGCATTTCTTCCGTATTATTAAACAGTTTGCTTCATTTATTTTTGAAAGCAGAAATTATGAATTCCACAAATATTAATCAAAAATCTGTGTTAATGTATGTTTTAAGTGCAAGTTTTCTTATTAATTCTGCTTTTGTTACTTACAAACCTTCTGTTTGTAGGTAACAAGAACTAGTGGTAAGCTTAATGTGTCTTCCCGGTTATTTTTGAGACTAACGGATTATTATGTGTTCTAATTATGGTTTTGTGATTCTTTCTAGTCTGAAGATGACTTAGCTGAGAAAATGAGAAGCAATGAGATGCTGCAACAAGCTATCAACACCTATGATGAGGTGGTTAGTCTGCCAAATGTCCCTTCAGATCTGATAAAGCTGAGCTTGAAACGAGAAGCAGACAGGCAGCAGTTCCTCGGTAAGTTTTGAGGGTGGTGTAAAAATTATGGAAGTTGTGTGAGCAAGACTTTCAAGAGGTTACTAAGGACTTAAAATGCCAATTCCATTGAATTTTTGGTAGGACTTGTCCTCCTAATGTCTTAAGTGCTAATGAAAAAATATTGTTTTAAATTTTTCTAGGGAACTAGTTTCTATAGTTTGCCTGTATGATAACAGTGCCTGTAGAAAGCTGCAGTAGATGCTATGAGAAGATATGATGAGAGGTGGTCAAAAATTTTTATTAACAGAGAAAAAAGAAAGTCTTCTTTTTCTACTGAAGCTGAAGAAAACCAAGAGGAAATTAATGGTATTAGCAGAGTAAACATATTCAGAATAAACTTTCAGTAAACAGAGAAGAATTAAATTGAACTTGGGGATAACATCGGTTTAAACTGTAGGTTTAGATCTCAATTCTGTGATGTATGAGGAGTGCTGATTAGAATATGAGGCACAATCAACTTTGCAGAAAAGAGTTCTGTTCCCATGGGTTGGATTTTTAATATCAACTTATTTTGTTCTTGCTGTTCCTTTGCAAGACCTCATCTAGGAAGCTGAGGAACATACTTAATTTTAACCACATAAAGCATTATAAATTTCCATGATAAATAATGGAAATAGATTAGAACTATTACTTAATGCTAGAAGTGCATTTAATTTCTTAATTAAGATTAAGTTTATTATTATATGTTTACTTAATTTTGTTGAGTGCTTTGATATCTGTTTACAATAAAGCAACCAAAGCTTAAATAATGTTACTGCTGCACTGTAAAGGGTTCTCCACAAGAGGCTACTATAACACTGCATGATGTGTACTTGCAATGATTCCCTGAAATATTCCTGGTATTGCTACACCTCAGTGACAACCAAGCAGCTGAATGTGCTTCTACCTGCACAAGCTTTTTCAACTTCTCCTTCTTGATCGTTAGTGAAAGTGGAGCACTTGGCTCTGATTTGTGTTTTCTTGGATGTTGTGTAAATGTCTTGCTACTGTTACTCATATCTGCGGTTGTAATTAAGTCTTGTTCAATCAAATCAGGTCGCATGAGGGGTTCCCTGGTTACTCTACAGAAATTAGTTCAGCTGTTTCCCAGTGATACTTCATTCAAGAATGACCTTGGTGTTGGTTACCTCTTGATAGGAGATAACAGCAATGCTAAGAAAGTATATGAAGAGGTGAGTTTCCATTCCAGTCAAGTAAAAATATTTACATTCATATGTTCATTCTAAAGATTGATTGATTTTAAGTTTTTTCATTGTTAAACATTTCACATGTGAGGTTTTGAACGGTTAGATAGATACAATTTTTTTGCTAGTGCAATTATCTTCTAATTTTAATTCAGATTTCCTGGTACAGTTATGCTAAGTTTTTCCTCATTCACAGAGAAATGTAGATTTGTTTCATGTGCTTAATAATATTTGAAATCTTACCCTTTCTGGTAACCAGGTTTGGAATATATTGACATGTAGGTGTGTTGTATGTAATGTGTAATATGTAATGCATAGTAAAAAAAAAAATATCCAATCTGCAAGACAAAAAAACCAGAAGCCAGTCTCTTTACAGGAACAGCATCTCTAACCATGCAATCGAGTAGTTCAGTACTCACACAGCTATTTAACCTTTGCTTTTTCATATTTTTGTAGGCAGCTTAAATTCTGTTTTTCTTTCACAATGTTTGTAGTGTGGACGATTCAGTGGATTTATACTCTTGTCTTATGGTTATTTGGCTGGGGAAACTTCACTGCCAGGAAGGACCACTCTGCTCCTGTGATCTAGAAACCCTGTTAACATCTGGAAACTCTCTGACAGATGTGGAGTCTGACATCACTGGTAGAGCACATGCTGTCTGTACCTGACCAGAGAGTCTTGTTGGTGTTGGCACACTTATTGGGGGGCTTGTTTAGTACAGGCCTGGTATGGTAATTGGCTGGTTATGTAGGCTGGAGAGGAGTTAGCATGCTTAGTACCACCTCCTGAGAATAAAGGCCCAGTTGTCCATCCCCCACATCTGGGAGTCTGAGGGGATTCTTGTCTCTGGTAGTTTCTCAGAGAGAAGGTTGACATTCAGCTACATGGTTGGAAGCAGGAGCCAAAAGCTAGTAATACCATTTTTTTTCCTCAAGCTCCTCTGCTAGTCTCAGATGTTGCCAGAATAATGTTTGCTTTGCTACTTTTGCTATTTTGTAGGTCCCTCCATAAAGCATGGCTGTTCGATAATTTTTGTCTTGCTGTCAAAATTTCTCAAAGGACTGGAAATATCAGCTTTTAAAGATAGAATTTATTAACCAAACCTGTTACTCAAGCTGCAAGGAACTTGAGAAAATAAGGACATATTCCTTTTGGGCAAGATTTTCCTTTGCAGTTATTCAGTGTTTTGCTGCAAAAAACTGTTAGAATTTCTCAATATCAATAATCACAGGAATTTTTATACGTGGAAGAAGGTCATGAGTTTTCTGTGTAATTACTTTAATATTGACTTTTATATATTTCAGAAGAAATGTATAGTGCTCTGATTAAGAACAGATATGCAAAATAAGAATTGGTGTGCTTTTAATATATTGTTTTCCATTCTTCTATAGACCTTATCCAGTGTACTCTTTGCAGTTCACTAACCACTGAAATAGAATAGCTCATAGTGGTGTTCTGTTCTTGTAAAAGAACAGCAAATACATTTTTTTAAAAATCATATGGTTTTGTCCATATTCTGGGTATTCCTTAGGCTGAATTCCAACACATTAATATAAATTTGTTTTTGTAACTCAGGATACATTTACACTAAGGATGTTAAGAAATAATACAGAACCAAAGAAACAGGGAGAAGTTTGTGTACCTGCTTTTATTCTTTGTTCTACTGAAAGCTTGTTACGTGATTTTGGGCAGATTTATTAGAGGCTACTTGGTCTGCTCTGGAGTACTTCACTCAGCTGTTGATGGGCATATGGCTTTCCTACCGTAGGTGCTCAGATTCTCTGCTCAGTCAGTAGAGAGAGAAGCAAACTGTGAGTAGTGGTTCTGGGGGCCTCCACAAGACATCTTGCTCTTCCCATTATTTTTGAAAAACGTGGGAAACTTCTGTAGTGTGACTAAATCGTTCTTACTAGAGTAGGACGAATTAATCTTTTGATAGAAAAACGTAAAAGAGCACAGACAGGAGCATGAACTCAGTGCTGCACAGTGGATGCCTCCAATATTTATGAATTCTGGGTTCTGTTTCCCACTGTAAGGATGTTCATACATTTTATTCAAGTGTTCTTTAATGCAGAAAGCATGAGCACTTAAGAAAACAAAGCAGAGTTAAGGACACACCCTCCAGAGAACATACCCCTTTTTCAACTAAAGTCTCAGCTCTTTGCTGATTCCCCTCTGGTCTTGTTCTTTTCTTCATGATTGTCTAACTTCTTGTGTATGTGGTACTTGTTTCTGATGCTCAGGGAAATTCCCAACTGGTTAAACACTCTTCTTTGCCGGAGAACTTAAACTCCAAGTTTCCTAGAAATCTGCTAGTTGGGAAAAGGTACCTTTGCTTCTTGCTGTAACATTTCCATCTTAATTCAATGTTACCTGTCTGTGTTAAGCATGGACTGAACACATGCAACCAGCTGGACCCTTCAGAGGCACCATTCCCTACTCGGGATCACACCACATAACATTTCAGACCCTAGCTTGCATCATGTCCAAGGAATTGAATAGAAGCCAAAGGAATCCTAGTGGATGAAAGTTTTCTGCTTTTGCTTTACCTTTAATAGCCAGTTTACTTATTTTTCCATGCAATTCTTATTTTTCTTTCCAAATTTGCTATATCTTAGCAGCTTATTTTAAATGTCTTTAATACATGTTCCTTCTTTTAGCTACAGAAACAATGCATACAAACACTGAGCTTACGATCAAGAGATTTTTTTTCTTCCAACTGCAGTGTGGTATAATCTACCTTACCCAAAATACACTTTTCTAGAATATGTTTGCTAGAGTTTTTGCTGAACAGCAGATAGAAAATGGTGTCCAACTGGAGGGGATTTCAGTTTTGCCTCTAATATTAAAGCATTTTCTTTTGAACATTACACTCAGGGGCATGGAAACATAATGTTAAAGGTAGTCCTAGTAGAATTCAGAGCTATTTTGATTTTCAAAGAAAACATAACATTAAAAGTAGTCCTGGTAGAATTTAGAGCTGTTTTTGTTTTCAAAGATATACAGATTATAAAAATATACAGCAGAAGACAACTTTTTAGGACCAGTTACTCTGCTAGTAGCACTTATTCTGCCTGCCATGCTGAGGCACATGTGCATGGCTCAGTGCAGCATTATACAGACATGCATAAGCCAGCTCTGAGCTATTTCAGGTACCAAAACCAGAATATCCACATTAACACAGTACTCTGCCCTGGCTAATTAGCCATTGATAGCCCCAGAGGTTAATATCTATATTCGTGATTAATATTTAATGGACTGTGAGCAGTTTAGTAAAACTTATTTCTAAACATAATTAATATTGCATGGAGCAACAGCAACAGAGTAATACAATTTACATTAAATACTTCCAGTGTAATTTCTGCTGATTGTATCTCTTCGCTTCTCTTTAGGGGCTCTGAATGTAGATCATTCCTTAATGCAACTCGGCAGAGTTTAAATGAACCATAATACAGAAAATTCTATTCTGTCTTAATTAATCAGATAGCTTTATCCTATAGTTAAAGAAACTGTAACAAAATTATATGGCTAATAAATATTTCTGTCAGTCATTTCATTTCACCCTGCAGGTACAGATTCTTGAATCAAAATAATTATACACAGAATGCTGAAAGACAAAAGCATAAGATGCGTAGGGTGGTAGTGTATTCTTATATTAGGGATCAAGTTCATCCTTACTACGGCACTTTTTGCTAATAATGTCTCATATTATGGACTTCAGATAGATTCTCAATTGTTTGTTCCCTCATAGTAAGTAACTCTTTTCTGCCAAAAGAACTGAAATCATGCTATTTTTAACTCATAACTTTTTATGCCCACATTGCTATGATTTTGGTTTTGCTTGGATGTATTTTGTATGTAATAAGGTTTGAGAAAAGAGAGAAGTTGGTCCAGAGAACTTGTTATGGTTTTGCTTGTAATTATTTTGATTGAAAAATGAAATTAGACAGTGACTGGAAAAGGCAGCGGGAAATAACTATAATGTATGAAGGCATTTTATCCATGACATAAGAAATGGATTTAGGCAAGAGAAATTGCTCATCTGCCCATTGTTGTGTATTTAGCAGCTGTCTAGACATTCAGCAGGTAATTCCACTGACTGTTGGGCTCTCATGATGATCCTTGCACTGAGGGTCTGTCCGGATAAAACTGTCCATCCTTATTTTAAGGAGAGAAGAAATGTAAAAACAGATTAACTTGACCGTGTAATTGATAATCACATAGAGCTACAAATTATATTGAATGTATATATCATAGAAATGCAGAGCTGGAAAGTAGATCAAGATGTTCTCTAATTTTCCCCTCTGGCTGAGGCAGACCAAATGCACTTAAGTCATCGGTCTCGTGTTGGGGGTGCATGTTTGAGAACTCAGACTGGACAGCTTCACACCTCCTTCCCCTGAAACATTGCCCCATACACTGATCCTTTTCAACAGCTGTCCCTGTACTTACAAACCTTTCCCTTGCACTGTCCCCATGAAATATCAATCTCTGGACATTTGCCCATGAGTTTTCCTTTTCTGCAAAATTAAGCCAGTTTGTAAATCAGATATCATCTGAATCTTGTTGAGGGTACAAAGTCTTTTAGCTTAATTTAGCATATTTGATCTTGGTCAAAGAGCGCAGCACACAACTCTACAAGAATAATTTATTCATGAACACCAAGTGTGAAAGCACATTGAGTCACTACTCACCTTCTTTCTCTTGGCCAGGGAAGTGCACATTGTTCCAGAGTGCTTCAGTTTGCCATTGTGCTGAGAATGTCCTTGGTGTTCCAGGGTTTGTATGTCCCATCATGTGATGCAGGTGTTACTTTACACCTTCTTTTTGTTACTTTACAGCTTCTTTCTAAATTGTAATCACTATGCTTCACAGTACAGTATGTTATCTCTTGCAAAAACTAGTTTGCCACCGGTAGAAACCCATCTAATTTTAAACTATTTCAAGTATATTTCTGTACTACGCTTTCTGTAACTGTGCTGTAGGTATTTTCAAGAGCAGCTGCTTTCCTTCAGATTAGTCAAACCTGGGATAAGTTTCTTAAGTGTTAATGAATGGGTTTAATGCTGTAATGTATCATACTGTATCTCAAGAGAGAGGATGGGAAAGAATGGACAACTGAAAATTAATTATTCCTGTTGGAATAATTTTACTTCTGAGACTTCAGAGTTTGAATTGTAATAGATTTGTCTGGAGAAGCACAAAAGTGAACGTGGGAAAGAAAGTACAGACAAGCCAAGAGATAACCTGAGTCAGTAATGGAAGCAGATGTCATTGCATCACTAAATAATAGTGCTTGCACAGGTTTGTTAATTTGCATAGATCCATACAGGTATATTTTATTCATTTGTTCTCAAACAGGTTCTAAGTCTGGCTCCAAACGATGGCTTTGCCAAAGTACATTATGGTTTCATCCTGAAGGCAGAAAACAAGATAGCAGAGAGCATACCCTATCTACAGGTACTTTATCACCCACAGTAAATGTTTTACCAGAAAAAAAGTAGAATTGGGATGTATGAGATGTGTCAAACTAGAAGCATGCTAGTTATGAATCACAGTTTAAGCTACTTATTGGAGTTATATTGCTGTATCCCTGCCTGTGAACTGGAACATGGTTGTACATTGAGACTCCTCAATCCTTAAACATTGAGTGTTTGTTTTATTAATGGTTTACCCAAAGTATGTGGCTCTGAACCTCAAATTGTTTTGAGGTTGGCAGTATGTTGCAAACCTAAGGTTCTTGAAAGATCCAGAGAAGGCTTCCTGCATATGCTTCTGAGTGTTCGAAAAGAAATACTACAAAATAAAACCTTAATTCAGCTTTCTAAAATGCTTGTGTATATGTTTATAGGGTCAGGGGCAAATGTCCATCTCTGAATACACCTCTGTCTTGGAGGGACTGAGGGGATAGGCCATGGGACTTGGAAAACTGATAACATTTCCCAATGACTTTTTACTGACTTATTGTGTTCATTTAGCTTAGCTTAGGTTTTACCGTGGTGAGTATATTTTCTAGCTAATTTCATAGCCAGTCTCTTGCATAGAATTGACAGCCTGTTTACAGCAATCAAATGAACTCTTTTAGAAGTCCCATTGAAGTTTCACTTATACCTTTCATTTTTATTAATTTATTTTTTTACTTATTTATTAGGAAGGACTAGAGTCGGGTGACCCTGGCACAGATGATGGACGTTTTTATTTTCATCTGGGTGATGCCTTACAGAGAATGGGAGACAAAGAGGTACATGTTTAGCACGTTCTTGCTTTAAAATCTAAATCTCTCGGGACTGCAGTATCCAGAAAAACCTTTAACAATGAGATTAATATTGAAAACATTATTTTCCTATTGCAATAACAGTCCAATATGATGATCAACAGAAAAAAATCTGTCATTGGCATAACAATACATACAATCTCTTAGCATCCCTTACTTTAGAACTAACCTGAAGATTTGAAGCTTGCATGGGGCAACTGAGGGACTAAACATTTGTTTAAAATTTTAATTAATGTATTTTTAGAATCTGTTTTCTCCTCCTACCACTTACAACAAAGATTTTAACAAGAGTTGAAAAAAAACCTATATAGAAGTTCTCTCATATTCTGATATATGTGTATTTTATAAACTCTTCCAAAATGACCTTGAGAACCAATGAGTATGTGATAAAAGAAGACATTGAGAGGACTGAATGTGTGGGCTGAGTTATGGAATTGATCAATAATTAAATTAGCAAATAGATCAGAAAAGCCTCAATTCGTACAGCATATCTGTTACATGCCCAAGAAAAACAAACATATGCCACTGGAAGCTGTAGGAGTTTCTAGTTTGTTCATTAAAAATCAAATTTTGTTTAAAAGACAAATTTAAATGTATGAATTAGCACTACTGTCATAGTAGGGGAGCAAAGGGCCTTTTTGCAAGACTGTTATTAGTAATGAACATTACTATGGGAATGAATTGAAAAACAACTAAAAACCACTGTTCAGGTTCCTAGGTGGGAAACATGAAAAGAATAGGCATTAAAAAGAATATCAGAAATAGCTATGAAAATCACAGCTTTTTAATTACTTGTCTAGTAATGTCTGAAATATTAATATCTCTAAAATACTGTAAAAAATACTGACCTCTCGATTATTGTGGCCCAGTCAATAGGTGGTTCTCCAATATGAACTATAGACAAGTGAGCTAGGATGAAGCCTATGTATGTGATCCTTCTCAAGTCTAGTTCATCAAGTTAGGGTTTTTTTAGTAATTCATGGAACTTTTATTACAATACCTAATGCATGTGGTAGATCTAAAACATTGAAATGTAACAATATCTGAATTTTAAGCTAGATTGCCTTCTCTGAAATACTCTTTCAATGAGTTGGGTTTTTTTGATCTAAATTTTTATTTACAAGTGAGAATTAGTTTTCCTCATTTTACTTAGAAACACATGCATATGATCACCTAGAGACACATGCACACAGTCTGCTTTCACACTTTCTCTGTCTGACTCTGTCTCTTCTCAGATCCCTGTATGTTTCCTTGGGATACTCAGAGTTGAATGGTTGGGCCTAGAATATCCCATTGTAGTGTTTGACTAAAGATACTACACAGATGTAATTAATGTACATCATCCTTAACCCCCAGATGTGTTAATGTGTTAATGTTTATGGAGTTAATGGTCAAGTCTGCTGTAGAAAAAGTTTAATTAATGACAAATTAATTTCTTGGGATAGAGGAGACTTCTAAATTTATCAGTGGAAAGTCCATTGTTAAGATAAATTTTTCTCACTGACCTTGCTAGACTTGATGAATATCAAGATTTAATCCAGGAAACAGATCAATATTTAAGGAATATGTGAAATTGCTATCACTGGAGGATTGTTGAAGGTAGATATTTATCTATTAGAGCTAAATTAGGAATTATGAATATGATCTTGGTAAGTGTTAGGGAAACAGTGTTGACTATGTCCTTTCCAACTAAAATTTGTTAAAATGCCAAATTGACTTAAAAAAAAATTTAAAACTGGAAGTTATTATGGAACAAAGTGCTGTTCACACAGAATATATAAATCGAGTGCATCTCAAACAATTTCTGTCCTGGAGAAGAAGATAGACTGTTATAACTCTCTTGAATAATACTGTGGTCATTATTTAGTCTTTCCACTATGAAAACCTGAATGAGAAAATAAAGGTTCCTCACAGAATCTCAGGAATGAAAAGATAAGCAAGGCAGCCTAACCCAACTCCATTCTGCCAAAGGCAACCTCCATAGAAAATTCTTCTAATGGATAAATATTAACAGTATTATACATTGTGATTATAGCTGATATATTTTGAAGAGCAGCAACTTTCATACTCAACGAGTAGTTCATCCCCCTTATTATTTGGGCTAACTCCAGACATTGCAAATGAATGCAGGCAGTCAGCATGAACAATTTGTTGATATCCCACCACTGTTACAACTTACATCTTGGGGAACAGATGTTATAAATCTTAATGATTCCATTTCAGAGATTTAACCAAGATAGCATCAAAATTTAAAGATACACTGTGTGTTATCCACAGGTAACAAATAATGTTTTTTTGACCCATGCACAGTTTTACTGAGCTTCCCTAGGGAAAAAAGATGACACCTTATATATGATCTGCTGTTATTCTGTTAATCCATAATGCTTTTCTGTACTTCTGATAAGTACTATAAGGCAACACTCTATTGCAGACTTTCCTCCACACTTCAAGAGAGTTATAAAGATCGGAGTACCACATTTTTTAAAAGCTTGAAGAAAATTTACAGATTCTCAAAGAGAATTTTGGCTGGTTTCTGTTCAAGGTGGGAATTGCTGCCTGCTTCAGTCCCTCCGCTCTGGACTTCTTATCCTCATATCTCCCTATTTAACTGTTCTGTTTTCTGGTCCGTTTGGGTTTTTTTGTGTTGTCTAAAATATTGCAACTGCAGCAGTACTGCCGGGCAGGAAAGAGGCAGCTATGTATAACCTTCGCTGTATATGGTTTGTCACAGTACTACTCATGCTAGATCTTTTCTTTCCAAGCATTCCATTTGCTTTTTTTGCAGGGCCTTGTTTTGCTGCTATACAGGGGTAAAACCAGTTGTGTCAAGGGAGAGTAAGAGAAGCAAAAGTCTAGTATTAGCCTCTGTAGGTTTCTGCCATGTGGCTGGTTTAGGTGTGGCAACAAATATTTGAAGAAACTCAAGTGCATTTAGGTATTAGATAATTAAGAAACAGTTTAGATCCATAATGTCAGCAGTGTTTTTATCATCACAGCATTTTTGTTGGCAGCAGAAGACAGTTATCTTTAATTCATCGGTAGAGAATTGAAGCAGAGAAAACAAGGTTGACCAAGATGAGAAACAATTTGATCTCTCAAGTCTAAGGACAGGACCTGAATTACTGACCCATATTTTATGTGAATGGTTGTGAGATTATCCTATTTTGTTAATATTGAATTGGACAGCCTTGGCCAACTGATCTAGTTTGTTATTTGGTGGGGTTTTTTGTTTGTTTGTGGTTTTTTCCTTAAAGTATTCATTAGTATGTTTTATTAAAAGAATAACCCCAACATCCAAAGAGACGGTCTGTTACCTTGCCAAAAAGTGTTATATTCTTCCTGTAGGAGCTTGGCTGATGTGAATTTGGTTGTTAACAACTACAATCTTTTAGGCATACAAGTGGTATGAACTTGGATACCAAAGAGGTCACTTTGCTTCAGTTTGGCAGCGCTCTCTCTACAATGTCAAGGGACTGAAAGCTCAGCCTTGGTGGACAGCAAGGGAAACTGGTTATACAGAGCTGGTGAAGGTAAAGCTTCTTTATACTTTCATTTTTATTAAAATTACAACTGTAAGTTATTAAGCAGAGTAAATGCTGATCTGTAAGGTCTGAACTACTGCTTGTGAGTTTCAGACACCACTGTCAGACTGAGTACAACTGAGATACTATAAAATGAACTCAGGCATTTTCAAATTCGAGAATGGTGACAGGATGGCTGAAATGATTAATAAATACAAAATTTGCATGGTAGACAACTGTAACATCTCAAGTGGAAAATGACAGCAAACTTTGGTAATGCCTGGGACACCCACTGTGAATTTTTAATTAGTCAGAAAAGGCCATGTCTTTCAGCCCTTGTGTAGTATTTAGTGACTTTGGAAGCTTTTAATTGTGTGAGAGAAACAAATGTAGATTCTAATGATGGATTTAACAAAAGATAATAACATAGAATTTTAATTCTTTAAAGGGTTTTTTATTTATTTAAAAATAGTTTGTGTTCCCAAAATTGCTTAGTTTTTATTATTTTTTATAATGTTAATAATAATTCCTAAAAAATTAGAAGAGAACTTTTTTCCCCTGTATATTTTAATTATTGGCATGTGGTTTAGAAAAATTATTTTGCACAAATTATTTAAAACTATAAATGTTTATTTGCAAGAAACAAGTTCATTCAGAATGGTAGTTTCTTTATACTTTGTTACATAGAATGTTAAAAAACCTACTTTGGAAGGGTGACTTTATTTTAAAAAAACAAAAGAGGAAGATTGCTCTTTTTTGTGGTTTTGATGGCAGCATAAATAATGCTGGGAAATTTAGATTAAAATATGATTCTCCAATGTAATCTCAGCAACACAAAAGAGCAATTAGCTTTATGGACTAGCTTTTGGGAAGATCTGAAATGTGTCCATATTTAACTAATTTTTGAGGAATGTGTAGGAATAGAAACTTTCTGCCATAAAAGATACAGAGAAACTGGCAAAGTCTTATCATACTTCTGTCAAACAAATAGAAAATAATACATATTAGTAGATTGATGTTTTAAAGCTACCTGCAGTGTTGCTGAACAGTCTCTTACATATAAACTGTTCTAATTATCACAGAAGATAATGATCCCTTCACCCTTGGCATGAGTCAGCTTTGAAGGCTGAAAGAATTCAGTTGCTGTTATGAAATGACCAGAGCTCCACCTTGAAGGGATTTTTTTTCAGTTGAATCAGGTCACATATGAAGGTCTTGGTTTGGTTCAGCATCTTACATGGCTGCTAGAAGAGCTGCTCAGAAGACCAACAAGGATATAAATTCACCCCTGACCTCCGCAGCACAGCTGCCTCTCTGGAATCCAGTAATATATCTTCAATGCAATCATTTGGTGGTGTATGTTTTAGCCACCTTTAGTGGTATATGTTTTATTAACAATATGTCACTGAATCTTGATTAAATTGTTTCTTTGAATTTTCTTACATAGATATCATAATTTGGGAGTGGTAAGATTTATATTCTTCAAGATAACATTCACAGTTTAAAGTATAAACATGTAATGTAAGTTAAATGCATCAGGACAAATATTTGTATTGTGTTTCTCCCATAACTCAGAAAGTACTTGAAGTTTTGAAAGAAAGCAGGTTTGATTCTAATAACATAAAATGCTGCAAGCAAAAATAGAAGTAGTATTCTCCAGAAAGTGACAAAAAATTATTGATAACGTTGGGTTTACTGGTTTCTGAAAGAGTCCAACTTATGTACACGGTTTAGTTAAAAAAAAACCCAACACATTATTTCCCCTTTTCTCAGAGCAAAAACCAATCAACAGTTATTTCCTACTGCTTCATCTCATTGCATTCCTCTTAGGTCTGTGTGGGAAATGTGGGAAACGCTTCCAAACCCTAATCATAGAATTCAATATGGAAAGCTGCTGTACAAAGCACTGGAGGTCCTGACCCTCTTTCCATGTGTTTCACTGCTTGATGTTAAGTGTGATGAACTATTTTCAATATCTTGGTAGCTTAATAATGCTAACTGAGGATTTATTCGTGGCTGAGATAGTACTAAAGCTGAACTCTCTGGCAGCAATTTGGTTCCTTCCATTAACTGGCACAGCTGTGGTCAGTAGCATCTCCTAGCACAGACCTGGCTTGATTTTGTTATAAAGGGTCATGTAGTTTCTTGGGACTCAAAGAAGTCAGTCTCATGCTCTGTTTAGTTTACTATGACCTACTTGCCCAGGTGGTTCCAAAGGGTTTTGGGTTGGGTTTTTTTTGGGGGGGAAGAGGAGGGAAGACTGAGAATATCTCAGTAACACTTATCAGGATGTGCTAAACCTTGATTAGTGGAACTGTGCTGAAGGGAAGTGGATCTTTGCATCTCTCTAGCTGCAGTTCATTGAGGCCTAATGTTTTTGTAATTTCCTTTAATGAATAGGAAGAGGAGCAGAAAATGTAAATTTATATTAGGAGGTGTGGGGCAAGTGATTTACGTAGAAATGTTCTGCTAATGTTTCTAATCTATAGTATTTCAGGCATTTGGATCTGGAGATACAAGAAAGTATCTTTCTCTTTTAGTCTCAGCTAAAAGTAAACCTTACTTTTACCGTTGAAAACCTGTCATTTTCCCTTGGGACAATTAGTTTTTCTCCGCCAGTCTTACTGAGTCATTCCATCTTTGGTGCCTTTTGTAGAACCTCAGTTATAGCATTATTCTATGCTGGTGCTTGTTTAAAAAATAATAAAGGAAATACCTTGTTGTTAGTTCCTAGAGACTTTTCACTGGTCTGACATTAATACATAGGTAATGACTTAAGTAATTTAGCCCTTTCTGCATGTTGTGTCCTTTGAGTTTTGGAAAGGATCCAAAGGATGCTTTGACAGTAATTTACTGCAGCAGATAACTGATTGATTAAAGTAGATCTTGTATTGTTGTTTTTTTCTGATGTCTTAGATTTTATTAATTAAAGTACAGCAGGAAAAATGCAAAAAGAGAATGAAAGTACTGGCAACAGCACATATCTGTATCATCTTCCATAGATTGACAGGTAGGCCTTAATGGTTTAGCTAATAATAGCTAAAGATCCATAGTTAAGGGAGAAATTAAATTGAAATGTGCATTCAGAGTGTGGTTGGATTCTTTAAGGGAAGCCTTGTGTTGAAAAGGGCAAAGATGATACATTCAAGTGCTGATGTTTAAGCACTGTGAGTGAGTGAATAGGTGCAAGGAATCTATTTTGAAAGATTTAAAACACTGCCCCTTGCTTGGAGGTCATCAGCGTTATCCAGTGGACATGTGATAACTGTTTGTGAATGCTTTCCTATTCTCTTTTAGTAACAAAGTGAAGTACATTAAGCTCTTCACCATGATTTTATTTTATAGTTCAATGGATTAAAATGGATGTGTAGTCAGTAGTTATACCTCATGTGAGGGGTAGCAACCTCTTAATCTGTCCCTGTTTCATTTATGACCGTGCATTGAAAGGGTTTGACAGCACAGAGTTAAGGATTCTTTCAATAAAATAGTCTCACATAAAAATAAACCAATATTGAGAAATCCCTATTTAAATAAAATCTACACTATTGCCAGATGTACAGCAACTGTAAACTTCTATTGTTAGGAGATGTATTTAAAAAGCCATATGGAAGTTTATGGGAATCAGCTGCTAGCAATCAAGTACATATGCTCCCAATGCTGGTTGCCTCCTGATTCTTCACTTGGAATCAGGATATTGCATCAAATATAATATGAATTCTTTGCTCTAATCTGGAGCTTGAATTCATACATATAATGGAGCGTGAGCATGTTTAACTTTTTTCTGTAGGTACCAACTATTGGATCAAGAGCTGTAAGTCCAAGTCCTGGACTTAGTCATTATACTTTAATGGTGTTTTGTGTTCTTACCATTCAAGGTATACCTAAGAGTTTGTAAAATCAGAGGGATCAACGCTGAGCTGTGTTTGAACTCCCTACTTCATTTCTACCTAGGAGTTACCTGTTGCTCATTATAAAGCACTATCAGTGTGTTTTACAGATGGGGTCCAGGTTTTCAGGAGTACAGAAACCCTATTGATTTCAGAGCAATTTCTGTCTAAAACCATTGAGTTAGTTCAAAATCAGTGATATACATCCAAATAACTTTATATCCAAAATGCCAGGGAAGGAGCCTTTAAATGCAAGGACAAACACCTTTACAGGTTAACATTCAGCCTGTGGCACTTGTGAGAGAATAGAAGTGACAATGCAAGTCCTTGGACCACCAGTGGTCTTCATGCATCATCTTGTCTGCATTGGGTAAATGTTCCTTCTTACCTTTTTTCCTTTACTGAGTGAGTAGGAGGAGGTTGAGGAAACACAGAAGCTTTTGTAATATCTTGAAAAGTTTTCCAGTTTTGTTATCCGTATCACTTTAAATTCAGGCTGGTGTGGATGTAAGTTAGTTTTTTTCTTTCTCTTCTCCAGCCAGTCCAAAAACAGGTACTCAGGCTGGCATTTCCTTTTGTGTATACCATAACGCTGAATCAGTAGCAGCAATATTCATCTCTGATTGCCATATTCATCTCTGATTAGGTGGAAATTTCCAGTCTGTTTTGTGCCCTACATTTTGAAAAAGTCAGTTTTCCAAAGATATTCAAAAAAAATCCCGACACCTGCATTTTTATTTAATGTTAACTGTTAAATGAATCTTATAGAAACCATCAATGAGGGAGAATAAGGTGAATGCACTCGGAAAAATAAGGGCTGCTCTCCCTCTTCTGAGGGGTGGGAGAGAAAACTATTTATTACTAAGAAAAGATTACTGTAATAACAGAAATTACATCCATACTTTCATAGGTCTTAACCTACCTAAATTGTTCTAGTGGGAGAAAGTAGGTATATTAGAGAGCATGCTCTAGACATGGCTTACTTTGTTGAGCCTTTTATGAGCGATCAATATATGACCTATTTTGTTAGATCAACTTGCCTTTTAAGTAAAAAAAACTCAAGTGGAAAATGCAACTGTTTGATTTAAATGGTGAAGGCTAATAACTGTATGGAGTTTTAAGAGTAAAAGGGGGCAGTTATATCACCTAGTCTGCTCTGTTATACAGACTTTTGAGTTTTACTCAGTTTTACACATCATATAAACAGGTAGTGTGGGAACATACTATAGCTTGTTTTAGTGTGAAATGGATTGAAAATGTCTTACAGAAACACTTTGTTCAAAACCACAAAGGCAACATGAAAACTATTCACCCAAAATAAGGTTTAGTGAGAAAAGTAAGCTGCTGGGAAATTGAAGTTACTTTTATCCAGATCCATTGTTATACTGTGGGGTTTCCATTTATATAGCTATAATATTAAAACAACTTATTATTGGTAGAATAAAAGATTTTCTACATGTATGATGTCCTAAGGCAGCAGAGAACAGAAATTCTACTATTTTGTGTGTTTGATACGTATGAAGTGTAAGGCAGCTTACATGTTCTTAACGGTTGTGTCCGCAAATCATCACTTGGCATTTCAAGTAATATATGATTTTTTCAATAGCATCAGCATGTGCAAGTGAATCTCTGTGAGCCTTTTTGAAGGTTTAAATCATAAATTTGCACTTAAGTGGTGTGTTTATGTTTGTCCTCTTTGAACCGTAATATTCTGCCAACACCTGGAGTTCCAGGTTATGTGAGTGGTTTTCTAGTTGCAGGAATGATTCCGGGTCACATGTGCAGCATTTAGGAAGATCAATACCTTTAGCTTGCAATACAAAACGATCAGGGAAAGAGCCCTTAGGCTCATCAAAAAGCAAGTCAAAGTGAGGCCTAGGCTGCAAAGAAGCTGGGGATTGTTGAAATTTTACAATACCAATGTAATTGACTCCAAAGAATGCTGTGAAAGTTGATTTTCCTACCTTTGCATGTCAGAAGGGAATAGAATATAAAGCAACTTGATAATAATGATGAACATTTAGTTTTAGTGTTTTTAAATTAAAAAAAAAAAAGGTTAATAATGGCAGGGAAAAATAAAAATGTTACTAAAGCCAAATGCAGTAAATTCTCAGTGCAGTAACATGGCTCTCACAACAGTCCTTAGAGAAAAACTGGAAGCTCATTCGGGATGAGGGTCTTGCTGTGATGGATATAAAAAGCAGCCTCTTCCTGCCTGAAGATGAGAATCTACGAGAAAAAGGAGACTGGAGCCAGTTTACCTTATGGCAACAAGGTAAAACATGTTCTATTTCTTCTCTTACCCCAATTTCACTTTCTTAAACTAACATAGTGTAATGAGGAGTAGCAACACAGTTTTTTCCAGAACTGTTTTTGTCACTGCTATGTACAGAAGAAGGGAACTAATAAAGTAGTGTCTAGACCCTTGTGACAATAAACAGGAGTTCTTTATTCTAATTTGTGTTGTCCCCATGCACTTCTAGGAGTCCATTGAGTATTGTAAGTGTTAAATGAGAGTATTCTTGTCCTGGCAAGGCTGCCAACATTTTGCATGGTAATGCATAGTACAGATCAGCCTGAGGGAAGATGAGGACTTGGGAGAAAGCACATCCTTAATACTGTCTTGCCAGCTATGTGAGGTCTGTCATGCAGAAATTGCATGAACAAAAGAATATGACTTTGATAAGCCTGCTGCCCTGCCCCTGAGCTGTGCAGTGGGAGGTCCAACTATGAGAATGACCTTAAATTCTTCTAAAACTCTACAGATGAAAGAGTACTGTAAAATAAAATATTAATAGCAACTTATATAAAAATATAATCTGGTATTGAGATGGTATGATATTGGTGGCATTTTTAATCTTTTTTTTCCTATGCAGCCTCATTAATGTTTATACTTTTAGAATAATATTTTTAAAGTGATAGCCTGGTGTTCACAAATCATTTAAAAGCAAATGTGCACACTACTGTGGTATTACAACATGCAACTACTTCAGTTGCACAATCTGTAAAATGGGAAAAATAATATTTACTTGTCTTTCAGCGTCAGCTCTTTGACATCTTTGTTGCTCTTCTGTAAAGCAGAAAACAGGGAAGTGTTCATTCGTTGCTCTTACGAATGCTCTATCCGTTATTTATCTAGGAAGAAAAAATGAGAATGCTTGTAAAAGTGTTCCGAAAACATGTTCTTTATTGGAAAGATTCCCGGAAGCTACTGGCTGCAGAAGAGGGCAGGTACCTGGCAAACTTCTTCATATTTGCAAATTCTTAATGGTGGGAGCTGGGGATTTTGAGGAGTACAGGGATATACATATAGAGGGATGCACAGCTTTGGTATATTTAATGATGATTCAAGCACATGATAAATTTAACAGCAAAAATATGCCCAATTTTAGCTGTCAGTAAATACCAGGTGAAATATGTTAGCTGAAGTCTTTCTACAGACTCTTAAGTTGAGCCATTTTACCTTGTGTTTCCTGGGAGCTTCTGGTAGGTAAGTAGTTATTTTCCATGGGTCAACCAATAAGTAATGACTTACTAACCCTCAACCTGAAGTGACGTGATCTGACTCATAGCTTAACTCTGCTTTGAGCAGGAGATTGCATTACGTCCTTTCTAACCTGAATTTTTTTTTCTGATCTGAACCTAACTTTACATGACTAATTCAGTGATCCAGATTCTAACTGTGACAAACTTCACCTGTTTACCCAAGCCTGGCTGCATTAGACAGAAAGAGAGTCACCTTGTGGAAGTCAAATAGCAGTACTACTGTCACATGCATCTTTCCTAAAGGTAAAGGAAAAAAATTTTACATCCATGAGCTGTGGCTGTGGGTGCCAGCAAAGTTTGTTTCAAGTGCCAACACTGACTGTTCAGCTATAAGTTAACCTCATTAAATCATGCAGTAGATTTGTATGGCATGGATCAATACACATGCAGCTGAATGAACGGCCCAACACAGCTATCATGAGATTCTATGGGACAGAATTTTTCATTTTTTTTCCAAGTTCTTATCGTCATGGCTTGGTTTTGCGAACGAAGATTTGGGAAAGGCTCTATCCACATTTGTTACAACCAAGTTATTATATTTTATCCATAATGACTATGAGAATAACCTTCACATGCCAAAATTAAGGATGCAAAAGCTGGAAAACACAGTGCTAGCATAATCCTGATTCAGAGCCTTGAGAGTACGTGTTCATCTTTTTCACCAGACTCCTGCTTTTGATGTGCCTAACTACACTGGATGGCCACTGTTGTGGGAATGAACAAGGTTATTGTTTCACTGATTTATCAGCAAAGGCTGATTGCAGTGAATATAACTGATGAATGAAGTCATCATGGTCAGTGTGGCTAACAACAAGAAAACTTCTCTCTGTGGCATCTGTAGCCAAAATGGATCTGTCCCAGAGAGCAAATTCTCTTTGAGAGCTTACTATTTTGTTGATCATTTTTGGTGCCCTATGTGTTATCACTAGGATATGGTTTGCAGAAACAGTGTGCATTTGCAGCTATATCTGTAGTCATGTGTTTTGAACACATAAATGTAAAATAATCTGAAAAGTGATGCTCTATAAATCTGAAGGTTTACATCCAATATTAGGGGATGCCTAGGCCAATTTTAGTCTTACACTAGCCATGACTCAGATTTTACTGGCAAGTTAAATTTTAAATATCAGCTGATCTCAATTCACATACTGAAACACTGGGAAGCAATGGGAACAGACACAATGAGGAAATAAGGAATTCTGTCGTAGGTAGATCATTTGGATGCTCTGGACACCTCATGTAGTGACAAAGCTAAAAGAAATGTAAAATAATCAACTACTTGCTCAGTGCTGCTGAGAGACTGTGTGGAACAATAGCAAGTGATCATATTATTTAAATTATGTAATTCTTCTTACAAATAGCAGTACACTAAAAGTATCAGAGGTAGGTTTAATTCTGGGCATTTCTTAACTCTTCAGAGTTTTACATTACAACCATTATAGTTTAGAACTTCATCTATAGCACTTGAGTACAGCACATAGATATAATTCACAGACATATTCAGACTGATTTGCTTAGGCAGATAATGTATGTGACAGTAGTCATTCTGCAGCGCTGGTATGTTAGCATTTAAAAATTGTTTATATTGGATATTAGTAACTATCCTGCATAGCCAGTGTTTTACATTGCATTAGGGTCTGACAGGGCAATTAACACATCACAGTGTAACAGAGGTTGGATTGAAGGATCTGTGTTCACCATGGTCACTGGAGCTTGTCACTTCTGTTAGAAGAAATTGCTGGTAAGATGAAACCTCAGACACCAAGAATAACTGTGTCATTAAACACACACCGATAATGGCTGTGTTTCAGTTGGAGAGCAAGCAACACATTAATCTGTAAGATTTATCAAAGTTCATCTGTCCCAACTAAATGTGCAGATTTCTCAGGTGAAAAGATGCTTCTCACCACTGTCATGCATTAGTCACACTTCCTGTTCATTGAATTGTAGAATGTACCAAAAACAATGAGGAGAAAAGGGACATCTGGAGATTATTTAGTCCAATCCCTTGCTCAAAACATGAGCTAGAGCAGATTGCTGAGGACTGTGTCCAGTCATGTTTTGAATGCCTTTGAGGATAGAGACTCTACAGCCTCTCTGGACAACCTGTTCCTGTGTACAATAAAAAAGTGTTTTCTTATGCTTAAATGACATACCCTGTATTTCAATCTGTGTCCATTGCCTCTTTGCTTTTCACTGGATACCATTGCCTTCTTCACTCCTCTCATCAGGTATTTATATACGTTGATAAGATCCCTCTTGAATCTTATGTTCTCCAGGCTAAGCAGTCCCAACTGCCTCAGCTTCCTCTTGTATGTTAGATTCTCCAATTCCTACATCACCTTTATACCCCTTCACTAGACTTGCTCCAGTGTGTCCATGTCTCTCTCACATTAGACAGCACAGAACTGGATCCAGCACTCAAAGGTCTCACCAACTCAGAGGGGAAGGATAGCCTCCCTCAACCTGCTGCCAGAGCTCTCCATAATGCAGCCCTGGAATCTGTTGGGAATCTTTGGTACAAGGGCACATTTATGGCTCATGTTCAGATTGGACACCAGGAGAGCCCTGCTATGAGGACCCCACAATCTTTTTCTAGAAAGTTGCTTTCCAGACAGTTGTCCACCAGCCTGTATTAGTGCATGGAGTTATGCCTCCCCAGTGAAGAACTTTGCACTTCGTTTTGTCGAATGTTGTAAGATTCCTGTTTCTTCCTTTCTCCATCCTGCCAAAGTCACTATGAAGGGCAGCAAAAAAAAAATCAAAGTAGTGTATCAGTCATTCCTATCCAATTTTCTATCATCTGCAAACTTGCTGAGGGGAATGCACTCTGTCCCATCTTCTGAGTCGTTGTGAAGCTATTAAATAGTGCTTGACCCAGTATTGAGCCCTAGGGAACACCTCTGATGAGTGGCCTCCTGCTGGACTTTGTGCCTCTGATCACAACTATTTGAGCCTGGCTTAAATGCCGGGTTTCAATCCACTTCACTGAGAACTTACCTAGATCCTATTTTATCAGTTTTTCAATGAGGATGTTTATGGCAGACAGTGTTCAAAGTCTTACTGAAGTTGAGATAAACTATATGCACCAAGCTAGACACCTCACCATAGAAAGCTGGTAAAGTACAATATCCCCTTCATAAACCTATGCTGACTATTCCCAGGCATATTCTTTTCCTTCATGTGTTTGAAAATTGTTTCCAGGATTATTTGCTCCATCACATTCCCAAGGATTGATGTGAGGCTAATTAGATGGTAGTTCCTTAGATCCTTCTACTTGCCATTCTTGAAGATAGGAACAATGTTTGCTTTCTACTAGTCCTCAGGGACTTCTACTGGCAGCAATGGTCTTTCAAAGATTGTGTGGATTGTGTATGGATTCACAAAATTGTCCATCTCCCTCAGGTTTCATGGGTGGATCCCATCAGGACTCATGGACCAGGTTGTTGAGTTTGTTTAAATGTTCCTTAACCTGATCCTTCTCCACAGAAGATAAGTCATGTGCTGCAGACTATTTCACTGGTCTCAGATACCTGTATTCCTGAAACTCAGCCAGATGAGTAAAGACTGAGGCAAAGAAGGCATGTAGTGACTCAGCCTTTTCCATGTCCTTTGTCATTATTCTGCCACATTTAGTATCTGGCCTGTGTTTTCTCTAGACTTCCTTTTACTGCTGATGTATTTGTAGAAATCTTTCTTATTACCCTTCAATTCCACCTCCAGATTCAGCACCAGGAGACCTTTGACTTTCCTAACCTCATCCCTGCACGTACAGAGAGTGTCTCTACAGTCTTCCTGGGTGACCTGACCCTGCTTCCACCTCTTGTATGACTCCTTTTTGTGTTTCAATTTCATCTGGGTTGCCATGCTCCCTGCAAATGGGGATTCTTGAGTTTGGACAAGGTACTACTTATCAGCTGTCCTAGACCCCTCTTCTCTCATGGGGTTTTTCCCAGGAGATCCCTGAATAATCCCTGTTTTCATGAAGCTCCAAATAATAATTCTGCTTTGTATGTTTCTCCATCATCTCATGGTCTTGAACTCCACCATCTCACAGTTGCTCCAGTCCACGCTGACAGTGACCTTCACAGATGCCATCTGAGAGGGGCTGGCCAGTCTGATAAACACAAGCCTTGTGTCTCCTTTTGTCCATCCTTCTAAAAGATGAGTGTCTATAAGTCTTTCTGATTGTAGATAGAAGATAATTATTTTCAACTTGAAATATGACTACTGGTTATTTTAAGTAAAATACAATTATGTACTATTACATACAAACATGCTCCTGGATGCACACACATCTCATAAGACGTGGTTTTTGTAGTACTGAATGCCTTTAGGGCATGAGAAAGAGCAGTTGTTGCTGAGAATCTAACAAAAGATTACATTACACTTTTCACCTATCATCGAGGATGAGACAAAACGAAATCCTGAACTCCCAGCAGCATGACTGTGAAGTGGAATGTGTTGAAAATCTGCCTTTCTCTTCTTGCAGATCAAATATTCTATCATGCACCCCGGGACTCATGTCTGGCCCCACACAGGGCCCACAAATTGTCGGCTGAGGATGCATTTGGGCTTGGTGATACCTAAGGAAGGCTGCAGAATACGGTGTGCCCAAGAGAACAGGTATGGTTGGGGGCCTTTGGTTTGTGTGGGTTTTTTTGGTTTGGTTTTTTTTGGTTGTTTTTTTTTTGTTTGTTTGGTTTGGGTTTTTTTATTTTTGTTTGGGTTTTTTGTTTGTTTGGGTTTTTAATTTTGTTTTTGGTTGGGTGGTTGGGTGGGTTTTATTTTGGTTTTTTGGGGGGTTTGTTCGCTTATTTTTGTTTGGTTTTGTTTGTTTGTGGTTTTTTCCCACTTTCCTCAAGACTGAAAAAGGGATGGGACAGCAGGTAATTTAAAAAAATAAAGGGGTGTATTATTGATCAGGAGGTGTAATATATTTCATTAAACAGGCAGTTTATACCCTAATGCTTGGTACAAACATATAAATATCAGTTCTCAAACAATGCCAGGAGAACCTTTGGAGACAAACCCGCTCTTCTCTGCTATGGCATGGAAATAACAGTGAGTTTTGTCAGTGGGGTCTCTGTGTTTACTTTTACAATGCCAGTCTAATATCACTGCCAACAGAGTTCCTCTATTTATTTTGATTTTGGGGAGACTACATTGCCTCTTCACAGAAGCTAAGACTAAGCTAGACCTGCATTTTCACCACTGTGACAGAATACTCTGGTATATCTGACAAAAGCTTCCTTTTAAGCTGGTATTATTTGTTATAATTCAGTTAAAATTATTCCAGTTGATTTCAGGATGAAGACATCTATGAAGTGTTTGGCCCAGTGAGTTACACAGGTGGTGATTTTTTTAAAGTGCATTTTAAGTAAAATTTCTTACCCCTTAGGGAAAAATTATACTGACTTGAAGACCAGTTTTATCTCTGTTTGGTCCAAAAACCAAAATAAAATGCAACAGCTGATACTTTTGCAATCATATACTCCTCTGAGAAATATGAGAAAATTTTATAATTGCATTATATTATTAAACACAGACAGAAAATATAGTATTAACTATATTGCTTTTTGTTTACAGTCTCAATTTGCTGAGACTTAGGTGAAATTCTCATAATGTTTAATATCTATATGTATATTCTGAAATATTCTTGTCTTTGCTGCATCTGAGTGCAATAAACATTAATTTTGAACTCTTTCTGTGGTAGTAATGTACAGATTAATGTGATATTGAAAAATGAAATGCTATTCTTGTCTGCATGACTGCAATACATAGCAAAGAATTCTTTTTGCATAACATTTGAGAACAACCACAAGAAATCTTTAGAAATTCTGAGGTTAGAAGTATCCAGCTTTTAATAACCAAAAGTGTTGTTACTATACACTCTTGCCAACATATAGCTTATTTAATTATTTGTCATAGTCAGTGTTACAATCTACACTACCTTTATCTAGGTTGTGATGGACATTTTTTTCCATCATTCCAGTCCAATATCCAAAATAAGCTGGCTGGAGTGAGAGGTAGCTAACGGGCTTAGAAGACTAATGTGGAGGTGTGGAGTCTTTTCACTTTAGGACATTGTTGCGAATTCAGGTTGGTGGTGACTGAATAGCATTGCCATTTGGTGGCTGTCTGGTAGCTGGTGTGAAGAAAGTAGTCGTTTAGTCTGCTTCCAAGAGAGCAGGTGTCCACAGCTCACCACCCGTTATTTAGGCTGGCACCCTTCTTTGTCTTAACCTGAACAGAAGGGATAGTCCTGTGGAGAACAAACTTAACTACCTCCTTGGTAGCAACACCCCCTCAAAGTCAAGAGTGGAAGAATGCCTGTTGCTGCAAACAGAGCTCAGAGCACTTCAGCATCCAGGTTCCTGAACCTGGCTCTGTCTTATGCACTCATTTGAAATGTGAAACATTCAAGAGTTGACTACCGCCTATGCTGGAACACGTTAATGTCAGTTGCTTCTGGTAAAAGCTATGCATTCAGAATAAAAGACAGGATTTTTCCTGGAAGCGTTCAAAGTGTGTCTACTGCTGTCACTGAAAGGGTTTTTATACATCCCTTCCCCATGAAAGAGAGGTGGGTGGACTACTGTCAAAAATAATGGTACCAGGAGAAGACCAACCTTGAGCAATTTCCATTCCTCTCCTCCTGGTGGTTCAGAGCAGTGGTAAAGTAGTGGCTTCAAATAGGAGATCTGCCTTTTCTGATCTCTGCCACTGCTGTGTTTATGAGAGACCAAACAGAATGACAGTTTTGTGCTTGATTACCTCAGTGCCACACAGTCTGGTTGTTTACAAGGGCAAAGTTACCATGCAGCTCATCCTTTGATGGACAGGCAACTCAGCAGTGTCTAGTACTGTATTTTACTCCTTCACTTGTAGAAGAGTTTTTTTTGCAGCTGTTAGGAGTTGGTATACCTTGTGGTTGAGGGTCATGAAGCTGATTGGAAGGATAGAACACCTCTGCTATGAGGAAAAGCTGAGACATCTGGAGCTGTTCAGCTTGGAGAAGAGAAGGCTCCAGGGAGACCTCATTGCAGCCTATCAGTATTTTATGGAGCTTGTAAGAAAGATGAGGACAGTCTTTATCAGATAGGTTGCAAAAGAACAAGGAGTAATGGTTTTAAATTAAAAGAGGGTCGATTTAGATTAGATATAAGGAAGAAGATTTTTATAGAGAGGATGGTGAGACACTGGAACAGGTTGCTCACAGAGATGCTCCATCCCTGGAAACATTCAAGCTGAAGCCTGGAGTGGGCTCTGAGCAACTTGACTGAATTGAAGATGTCACTGCTTATTGCAGGGAGGTGGACTAGATGGCCTTTAAAGCTTCCTTTTAACCTAAACTATTCCCTGATTCTATGTTTCTTGTTCAGTACAGCTGTGGTTATTTTAGGTTGTTGGGCCATTTTGAAGTCCCAGCTCTGTAAAACTTAGGGTACAATGCACAAAAATGGTAGGTAAATAATATCTAGTTATTATAATCAAACATCACTGTCAGGCAACACAATCTTATTTTGACGTGAAGGTACAGAGTTACAGCCTTATGCAGAAGCCAGTCCGAGATCTCACCTTTAACAGCTGTGAAGATGATACAGAAACTACCCCAAAGTAGCTCAGCACCAGAGCAGAAGAGTATGGTCGCTATGTTACCACTGTGAAGTTGTTCTCACACCATCAGGCCTCTAGAAAGTATTTATTTGCATGCTAATGGTCGGGTTTGTAGCCTTTTCAAAAGGGGCTAATAGTTCTGTCAACTTTATGACTTTTCTTTTGTTGTGCAAAACAGACCATCCCATTATGATGCAAATGACAGATCCTAGGTTTTAACCTCTGAAGCTACTTCATCTGGGTGCCTGGAGTTTTTATTGTCCTTAACTGAGCTGCACTTTCAGGCTATTTAGATCAGGTTTTTTCAGGCTCGCTTTTCTTTAAAAAAACAGAAACAAAAAGAAAATTTCAGGAAAAAAGAAAACAACAAACAAACCAAAGCAAAACAAAAACCCAGCAAACAATAATAATAAAAAGCTCAACCAAACAAAAAAAAACCCAAACCAACTGAAAACCCAACTATTTGCCTCAACAACAAAAACAACACCAAAATTCAATTGCCCCAAACAAAAGCAAAACCAAATCCCCCAACCCCTACCCAAAACACCAAACCCCCCAAAACCAAACTTCCCTAAAAAAAACCATAAACAACCCTCTCAAAAAAAAAAACCGAAAAAACAAACAAAAAAACCCCACCAGAAATAAAAACTGCCAAAAACCAAACAAACAAATACCAAAACAAAACAAAAAGACAACCCAAAGTCTGCTTGAATTTTTTTACGACATTATAGCACTGCAAGTGATTGAGTCCCATTGACTTGAATAAGACCAATGTAACTTTATTGCAGTAGCAGCAACTCAGGGTCTATATGACATAGAACATTTTTGTTACCAGATAACTAATGTGAGAGCAAAAAAAACCCCACATGATGCACATAGCTGAAACCTGCAAAAGGCTGGTTATCTGGGCCTTCAAGGCTGACGTCTGTATGCAAGTCAGTGTGAATTTTTTTACTATCTTATGCTTTCTGGTTTATCTACTCTTGCTTAAATTATGTTTAGATGATCATTTCAGTTGAAATTATCCAATTTCAATTTCCATTTCTCTTCAGAGCATTACAGCACAACTCCATACATTTTGATGGTTTTGCTTTTGTTGAATTAAAAATTAAAAAATACGGAGATGAATTTATTTTTCACCCTGGTTTTGAAAGAAGTTGTTTTCTCTGTGAATGGACACAGCTGAATGAGCTTAAGCAGTGCATTTCCATCTTTGATGGCAAGGCTTTTGTTTCTTTACCATTGTTACTGTCCATAGTGCTTAACTCTCTTTAAGGGCATCCATTCTCTTGAACTGCTTCACCTGCTAAGGAATTCCGTTAAAACACTTGATTATGTAGAGTGTTCATTGTAGAGTGGCTTTAGGAAGGAAAGCTTTGACCATTGTTAACTTGACTGTTTTTCATCCAGTCTCACCTGAAGGGATATAATCAGGTGTTAAACTTCAAAATTATGAATCCAGGTCTCAGCAGGCTGGAGAAGCATGCCAGCTGAAACTTGATTAAGTTCAACAAAGGCAAATACAAAGCCCTGCAGCTGATAAGAGATCAACACCTTGTTACTGTACAGGCTGGGTGATGACTGCATGGAAAAGCAGCTTAGCAGAAAAGGGCTTAAGGGTCCTAGGGGCCGAGTTGAACATGACTTACAAACTTCTTTTGGCTTGATGAAGAGTAGCTGTGTACTGGACTGTATTAATAATAAAGTTTATAGGAAGCAGTTTGAGGAATGCAATTTTTTCCCCTCTCTACTCAAGACCCTGCCTCTGGAGTACTGTGTCAAGTATGGGACTCTTCAGTACAAAAAAAGTCATTGATAAACTAGAGGGACTCCAGTGGAGGATGAAAAGATGATTAGGAGACTGGAGAAGCTGAACAAACTGGTTTGGAGTCTCAAAACAAGAAGGCTAAAGAGGAGCGTAGTTACGGTCTTCAACTACTAATGAGTGACTATGCAGAAGACAGAGCCTAACTTTGCAGTGAGTCTTGCTATGAGCCAAGGCTTGGACCACACGCCCTTCCAAAGTTTCTTCCGACCTAAATTATTCTGTGATTCCATACTTCATAAAATTGACAGAAGTACTGATTCTTCTACCAATTAACACTTTATACAAAGTCTCTTTGTTGATTTTTCTAACAGTGGAGGTGCTCAAAACCAAGTCACTTTGAGTAAATTGCACGTATCCCATTTTGTGCCTAACAAAGCTACTGATCTTGGAAAAGTACTACTGTTAAAATATGGCTCTTCGCTGCTGTAATAACCACTCACCTAGGGTGTTTACATCTGTTCAGTGATCTGTTCTGCCTAACCAGTACTTGGCAAGCAGAAGGGCTTTGAGTTATGGGATCTCATTCTTCCAGTTCAGCTATAACAGTATAGTCAACCCAGTGTACCATATGGTATTCCAACCTTATTCTCAAGAGAAATCTTTAGGCTTAGTGCTTTGAATGGACTTAAGGCACAAGACTGTTAACATCCCAGAAATGTTAAGCATGATGAGAGTCTAATTCTGTTGTTCTGATTTTTAGAAAAAGCAAATTGATTTAATGTAATTTCTTTTCAAACCATATGACCATATTACTGGTCATTCCCTCAGCTTCCATCACTTCTGTACATCACTAATGTAGTTGATTAGAAAAGAAGAAAAGTGGATTGTTACACCAGTATTATACCCACTCCTTGTTTAATGGACTCAATTCATTAAAAGTACATAAATAACATATATCATAAATGTCTAAATGTGTTTGTGGGCATAACTATGCAGAGTGAGGGGAAAAGATCCGTTCAGTAATATGAAGGTCCATAAGACTAATCTTTCTGTAGTTTATTTCAATTAAAACTTTGATACTCCAATCTCTTTATATTACATAGTGAAATCTTGACTGTGCAATCTGTGGTGTTTAAATCTTTCTCATATGTCCAAGAGCATCTTCAGAGCTGATATATAGCTTGCCTGCTCCACAGCCCTTCAAATACTACACTAAAGTATGTTCTTTTTTGTGTTGCAGAGCCTGGGAAGAAGGGAAAGTTCTTATTTTTGATGACTCTTTTGAACATGAAGTATGGCAGGATGCTGAAGATTATCGCCTGATATTCATTGTGGATGTGTGGCACCCTGAGTTAACAGCACAACAGAGACGCACCCTTCCTGCTATTTAAGGGGTTCCTTCTGATATGTGGCGCAGAGGAGCTTTAACTCTTTGGAGTATGCAAATGGGATTAATTTATCCAGCATACGAAGTATACAAGTATTTTAAGGATAAGAAAGGATGAGATTCTACAATCAGAGAGGACTTGGTTAAAAAAAAAAAAGAAAAAAAAAGGAAAAAACTAAAAAAAAGAAGCCATGTTTTGTTTCATACCGATACAGCACTGATGTGTATTGTTTTTCTGGCTGCAAGTTTGAAAATACGAATCTTGTCAGCCAAAAAGCAATAGGTGTGGATTTTCAAACTGAGGAATGTGCAGATGGTTTTGCCATGCCTATATTGTGTGTACACAACCAGTCAGTCGGTCATATGCTTGACCATGTTGAGGCACAAGATTTATGATTCTACGTCTAGGAAATACTTCCCAAGCTTTTATCTGGGAAGCAATATGTAAGATATTTGCAAATGTATGCACACAACTGACTTTGAAAATCAGTATGCAGTTGTAATGTTAGCTGCTTTAGGCTTAGAACGTGTCCCTATGTTATCACTATAGATAATGTGAATGGATTATGTGAGTTTTGTACTTTTTCTACCTGAGTAATTGTATTTTTCTAGCTTAATTATGAACAAATCTTCTTTAATTAACCACTATTTTTAAAAAAAAAAACACTATATATACAAGTGTGTCTCTAGCTATCAGCAGAAGGAAAACATTATGTATGAACAGATTTAATTTTTGCTAAGTGTGGCCTTCTTTTGCCTTCTTGGAAATGCAAGTAGAAACTAGCATAATCAGCTGCCTAGTGAAGCTTTGTTCTTCTAAAACAAAATAGTTCTCTTAGTTAGCAGGCAACTTTCAGTTTGATAATGTGATTTTGGAAAATGTTGAGCAAATGTGACATTTGTGGGCTCAGATTGTAAAGTGCTTGACAGTTCATAGGATTATTTGGTGAGCTGCTGTTTTTCCTGTTGTTACAAAAGCTTGTGATGTGATATCTTTTTCTACTCAACAAGGGTCTGGGGCACCTCTTTCCAGGGGCTCCTCCTTGGCTGCCCTTGAGTGGTCATTCAGCAGAAAAAAAATATATGAAGAATTTCTTGTTCTTTGGGCAGAAAGACAAGGTCTAACTTGGGTTTCCTGCCATAATGCAGAAGAGACAAAGAGCTTCAGGTTATTAACTTGTATTAACTTCTGCTGCCAGCATCCTACAGAGTACTAGAATGATCCTCTAATTGACCTAATGGTGTTTTCCTTATTTTGAAACGTAGAACATAATGCTGAATGAGTCTGATCCCAGTACTGTTTACAGGATGCTCTGTATTTGCCATACGGAATTTACTGTATCGTAAAAAGGCCTATTTTCAAGAAAGAGAACTTGCTGGATGTTTAAGAAGTTGTCAAGTCTTTTGGGTCTGTACTGTTTGATGGGAAATGGAGAGTGCAGGACCCTCCACTATTAACTTCTAAGAACACTAACAGGAGAGAGAGACCAGAGGTTGCACTGTGATGTTTATGTCAGGCTGTGACCTACTCACTTGCAACACCAGCTGGGTGTGGACAGTTGTGATGGGATGCCCAGGACTCGTCCAGAGCAGTGGCATCACTTCTGAGGGTTGTAAGAGACAAACACTAAGCAAGGAGACATTGAAGTTACTTAGTCTCCACAACTTTGGCTTTGTTGTCCAAAGGACACTGAACAGTCATCTTATTTGTGTAATACTCTGGTTTATTACTGCAGAGACTACATCGTGGTACCTAAATATTGTGACCTGAATGCTGCATTTGCTAAAGCAAAATACAGATAAGAGCTTTGCATTCCCATAAGCTGAATGCTCTTCAGATTTTGTATTTTACTAGGTAATTAAATTTTGTAATGCCATATAACACATGGTGATTACACCATAAATTAGTGTAACCAGTTTCTGGAAGTGTGCACTTTAATTTCCTTTTTGAATAGTAAACTGATAAACCCTCTCTGATCAAGAGTCAGTTTTAGACAGCTAAGATAATTAGGTTTTAATGTGTTGTCCATATCAAAAATAATCCTGAGACTATACGCAATGTACAAGAAAGTAACACTTCTCAGTTAATAATAATGAAAAATGAAAAGATTTATAAGTTTCACACTTTAGAAAATTTAAAGATACTTCTGGAGGTCATTAGGAGAATTATGCAAAAGTGGAAATAAGATACTCATTATTGTGAGGGATAAAAGAGTAAAAACGTTTTTTAAATCTCCTGGTAGTTGTTAAATCAGAGGCTGTATTTTTATCTTTGTGAAGTGATCAAGCAGTATAAATTATAAACTATTTTGTAATTCTCTTAAATAAAGACAGTTTGTAAAGAAAGAAACAAAAACTTTTGAAACAAAAATTGGTGGTTTAGGAATATTTTTATTGATATTGCATTTTAGTTTCTATAGCTCAGATTAAATGCTAAAGGTAAAATTTTGGAGTTTTATTTATGAAAATCCATGCCATCCTTCATATTGTTTCATTGTTCTTTTGAAGGCTCATACTTTATCTTTTCCAATTGCAATTGACAAATAGATAAAATTGGCAAATAGATAAAAGTAATCTACCCAAGCCGTGTGTGTGCTGGAGTAGCACTGTTCATTAGATTGTGTAGTGATACATTGGCCATTTAAAAATCTTAAGTGCCTTTAATAAGACAAGGTGTACTATGAATAGCTCCTGCAACACTGAAGTGAATCTACTCCATGCCTACAAGGCAGGAAGCTGAGAGCATGTTGTTTTGTTAGGTACAGTTACTGTATTAGCTATATACATGGGGAAGATACATATAGCAGACTACAGAAATTATGCAGTGAACAACTGGTATATTATTTTAGGTATTCCTGTTTGCCAACTGGTATTTTGTCTTGAAAAAGCTTTTCAGCATTGGAAGTGCCAAGAGAAGAAATGAATGGAAATGCTTTTTAAATGGAGATCCATTGCAATTTAACTTTTTTTTTAGTTAGGTTTATTTACAGAAGGAAATGGCTGACAAGAGCAATGTAGTCTGTAAGGCAGTATATACTCATCATGATGATAGGAGGTGGGTTCCATCCTGCCTGTCATTACCTTCTTTGCACAGTCTCTATAAGATCCTATGGTTAAATACAAGCTTCATACAGTTATATACAAGGCATCATATGTATTTATTCATATCACAGTTAAAGAAAAGAAATAATTCTAATCCTTTGCAAGGTTTGATCTTCAAGGGCTGGATTTCAGTGATATTTGCACTTCTTGGACAGAACCAAGACCCACTTCAATGAACAGTGATTGTAACAGATCATCACAAAGACTCAGTGGCAGTGGGGGTAGCAGAGATTAGGTGTTTTTCTCTGTATTAACAGAGAAAAATCACAAACCAAAGTATTTCTTCCTTAATGCTGCAGTATACTAGCCAATGTCTGTCTTTTTTGCCTGTTTAAGTTTTTGCTTTCTGCTTTAAGCAAGTTCTCTTTGACAAATCCAAATGCCTTTGAGTGTCCGTGAGCCCAGGGAAGGGAAGGGAGCTATGTCCTTCTACTGGGACTTGACATCCTGTAATAGTTGGTAATGTCAGGGGATTGGGAATGGAAGAAATCCCAAAGATAAATGGGCTCAATCATCTTCTATGTTTAATGTTCCTGGAAGCTGCAAGCTTCTGCTTCTTTTTCTAACTCCTGTGTTACCTTGCTGGGACCATCCACTGCCTTAAAGACTCACTCTCTATCATGGAGGCTAGGCTTTGTATCAATAACGTGTTGCTGTAGGAGGAGGTTAGTCTGAATGAAGTTATTCTGTACAAATACTGGTGCATAAATCCCAGGTGTGTTGATAGGATCTGGCAGGATGTCCTTTCTGCCCTGTGCAGGCATAAAATGTTGTTGTAGATAAAGGCAGTATTTTGTTAGTCCATCTGTTAGGGCTGACCATGTCCACTTGAACTATATTGTCACTTCAGTGTAACACTTAAGAATTCAATGAATGTTCTAGGGGCACATTAAAAACCCTTGTGCCTATTATCATCTCATTTTGTCTGTATGGTTTACTCTGCTACCTTTGATATGTTGTTGCCAACCACTTGTTCTAGTAAATTGCCAATATGTGGCAATATAATTGAAGAATAAAGGTGTGTACAGTGGTTGTAACTGTTTTAGGAAATAAAGTCACTGAACATGCAATTTGATAATGATTTTTCTTTTATTTCTTTAATCCGGTTTCCATTTCAATGAAGGGATGGTACTCTTTTCAGCTAGAGCAAAGAGAGAAATAACAAACTGATCTTTGGCATTTCAGTTCTTGTATTCTTCAGCATTTCCTTCTAGCAGAAGCTGGTACTGAATAATTAATTATAAGTTTTCCTTTTCCATTTTAACCATGGCCTGTATCTGCAATCAGCATACCCTTCTGGCTACACCTTTCCTTGACTGCAGGAGGGAAGGGAGTGAATGGCTCTGCAGAGCTTTCATTTGTTGTTGTGACCTGAATGAAACAATCTGGATTGAACCATTAATCACTGGTGAATGTGTCCAATGGGTCTCCCTGGCACCCCACCACCACCACACGTGCTCACACATGCACACGCATGTATCTAATAGGCTCCTGAGTTGCCTGTGGAAAAACACATTACAATTAAATAGTTGCATTTCAAATTGTGCGCGTCTGCTGCCCACACAGCTCATTTCACTTTAGCTGACAGTTTTACGAGGGCTTCAAAAGTTAAGAAAAATTTTTGCTAGATACTGAAATGTGACCTTCCCCCTATATAAGCAGCATGGATGAGGCAGTCACAAAGTATCGTGTTGAATGGCATTATTCTGGCACTGGCTTTTTGGTTTTTTGTTTTTGTTTTTTTATTTTATTTTATTTTATTTTATTTTTTTTTAAATGCAAAATCCTTCTGTAAAACTCAAATACTGTGTAAATGATGATTCTGCCCTCTGACGCAGATTACACTTACTGATTACAGTGCAAAGTTTAAACTCGAGATGCTTTTCTTTAAAACTCAACCCCTTAGCGTCTATAAAATGAGCATCCCTGATGAAGTCTTCAGGAAAACTACTGACATACCCTGGTTTCTTTAAACAGAGAATGCAGTTCCACCATTTCCAATATTTTAATGTCATAACTCAAAAAAAAAAAAATCTTTGTTTATGGACAGATTCCTGTGTCAGTACAAATTTCTCAGTTTTTGTTCAGCGTCGGCCGCACGGATGGATGGCTGGTGACAGTTGTTACTTGGTCAGGAAACATGAAGGACTTGCCATCAAGCAAAACACGTGTGTGTGCGTGTGTCTGTGTGTGGTGTGCTCTGTGGGTCTCTGGTACGGTGGAAGTCTGTTCGTGGATCTGTGTCTGTTGGGCACCTCAGTCCAGAGCCAGCAGTGGTTGGGTGTTCTCACTTTCCCCCGGGTCTTCATGTTTCAGTGTGCCAGCTTCCACCACAGACTGGGACCTGAAAGCAAGAAGACACATGTGCTAGCAAGGACTGCTGCAGAAGCACTCACCTTCCTGGTTTTGTTTTGTGATCTTTCTTTGCTTTAGTCCATTTTCATCTTTATGGCTTCTTAATTATTTTCTGTGGAAAGCATAAGGAATTTGAGAAACATTCCTTTAAATACAAACAGGGATGTGACTCACTGGAAATCTCGAATGCTTTCAAAATATTTAATGCTTACCTACTGTCCATAATGCTGAACGTGCTCACCAACTTAAAGACCTGACCTTGCAATACCATGAGGTCTGTGGGTGCTTGATGTCTTCCTAGGCAAAACTGCTTGTGTGAAGCAAGCTGACTACTGGAAAGCAGCCATTTGCACAAGTGCTTGCAGGGGCCAGTCTGAGCTCATGCTTGTTGCAAATCTCAAGAAATACAAGTAGACAAATCACATGATGTAGGGGTTTAAGGGGCAGGGCTACCATGAGTTACGCAAGACCAATGAAGAAGCCAGAGTTAATATGACAATGAGGAAGCTTCTGGTGTGCCCAGTCCTGCAGTTTTTCTCCTTGTCTACACCCTTGAAGGAGAACTTTATTCAGGGCTAGTCTATTTTAAACTCATTTCTGTCTTCCAGTTGAGAAGCATAACTGAACCATTGTTATTAGTGAACCAAAAAACTCCAACATGTAAAAAAAAGAGTAAACACTAGAGAAAGTAGAACATCATGATTTCTTGCAGTAACAAAAGCTGAATGGGCTTAAAATGGTGGAAAAATTCAAGACTCTTTCATTTTCTGAGGTCTGTGTGCTCTAATGTTTGCTTGCCTATTGAAGGAGGATCTGACGAGTTTATTGTTACAGAGATTTGTTATATTCCATTTTCTCTGCTTTGGGCTAGAAGTTACCTCTTAGCAAGTTTGGAGTGGACAATGAGCTTTAGAACAAAATCACTGTGTGATTCGGGAACTTTTAAAAAGGGATCTTTTTCAAAAGTGAGGGTAGAGTCATCCAGCCCAGTCATTTGCATAGTGCGTAGTATCATTTTAAGGAGCCAGTTTTCTCATCGTTAGCTTTTTATAATTAGGGGTAGCTCTCACTCCCTACATGATGTGTTTGTGGTTCCCAGTTGTTCATTTAAGCTTTAGCTATTTCATGAAATTAGATGTCACCTCTCTTTTGATGAGAATCCTTAATAAATTACATCCTTTGGTACTCTAGCACTTGATCAGGATTGAATACCATGACTGTGAATAACTTGTATCATAATTATTCTTATGCCTGGAGCTTTCATTAAAGCATAATAAAAAAATTTCATTAAAAAAAATCTCCAAAGAAAGATAATAAAAACTGGTTGCTCAACGGAAAGATTTTATGCCAAAATTTTCAGAGAAAATTTTGTTTGCTCAAATGTTTTCTCTGCGTATTTTTTACAAATATGTGCCATGCATAATGTTTATGATTGCATTTTAATATAGAAAAGCAACTGTTTTGGGACATTATGCAAAATGGCAATTTACATATTTCTAGTACGTGGCAGTAAAAACTAATCATATGGCTTCAAAACTGATACAGAATGGATTTAAATCACAACATTAGTAGGTTTTTACTTTCTTTTCTGGATTACTAGATTAAATTATTGTTAATAGTACTGATTAATACTTGTCACCAATGTATTGCTTCTGTCTGATCCACTACCCTTCAATGGATGTAAAAAGCTGCATATCCTTTGCAGCATTTGCCAGCACACAGCAGAAAGTTTCCTTTCTAAGTCAACTGTGAAAAATCTCACAATTTTGCCTTTTATGGTCACAGCTGATCACCTCTGCTTTCATGTCATTACATACACAAAACCTCTTGCATCTGGAACAGCAAGATACCATTTTCTCCTCCACACTGGTACTTGGATTCACACCACCTTGGGAAAAATGTAGTGCCAAGCTCTGTGTGCAGGTCCCATGCTATTCCTTTTCACACAGAGACAAAATAGCCAGAGCATCAAGTAGATGCATTTTAACCCACCTGGCCTCCAAATTCAAAATGCCAAATGGTTCAAATGCTATGCCCAGCCTTTCTGAATAATGTGAAGAGGAATCAAATTGAGATTTTCGTATCTGCTAAGCTCTGCAGCAACAATTTCTGTTCTATTTTTGCTAAAAGCTGCTTTTAGCAGAAATATATATCCTAAAATAAGCAATTCTCACATCTGTCTGAAGGGCACAGTCATGGTTTCAACAATCATCGCTATTTTCTAAGACACCACAAAAAAAGGACTCGTGTTTGGATTTCCATTTTCCTAATACATCGTTTTGGTTTTTTTTCTGAAAAATGCTTCCAGTTTTGTTTTTAACTTAAGTTTTATGTAGAAAAGCAGAAAATAAGTCAATTCTCAACAGGATTTTAAAATACTCATTTCTTATTCTTAATTTGTGGTAAATATCAAAAATGTACATGCTTGGAAAAGCATTTTGGCAATATATGTCAGTGCAGTTCAAAATCTAATGTAATAACTTAGCACAAGATATATGTTCTACTAGTCTAGAACATCCTGGAATATGCATTTTATAACTATACTTTATTTAATGACAGGGAAAAGATGATTTGCAACAGGTGACTGTTGCAGAAAGCATTTTCAACTGATAGTAAATGTAGAATGATAAAATATGCTGAGTTGGAAGGGACCCATCAGAAACATCAAGTCCAACTCCTGGCCCTACACAGAACATCCCAAGGATCACATCATGTGCCTGAGAGTATTGTCCAAATGCTTCTTGAACTCAGACAGGCTTGGTGCTGTGACCACTTCCCCGGAGAGCCTGTTTTAGTACTCAACCACACGCTGGGTGAAGAACCTTTTCCTGACATCCAGCATAAACCTGCCCTGATTCAGCTTTGTGCCATTTCCTTGAGTCCTGTCACTGGTCACGAGAGTGAAGAGATCGGTGCCTGTCCCTCATCATCAAGAGAGGTTTTGTGATGACATCAGCTAACTCTATGAGGATTCCAGGATGAATTCCATCAGGCCCCATAAATTTGTAGGGATCCAGCTGGAGCAGCAGATCCTACACAATTTCAGGGTCAACTGAGAGTGATCACTCTCACAGTCATGGTCCTCCAGCTCAGGGCACTGAGATCCCCTGTATTTTGTGGCTGTAGAAATTAATATAAGAAGAAGCACCCTACGTGTTAGTTTCATTTTGGTTTTGTGGATCTAGCAGACATATTCAGTTCAAGAAAAACAGTCACATTCTGGGTATGTGCAGGTTTACACACTGTTTAGGGAGGTTTGTGTGCTGACTCTAGTATTGAACCTAGGACAAAGACTAGTTTTTATTTTAAAAGTACTGCTACCTGTTTTAACTGCATTAACATTTTCTTCAGAGGACTTCACAACTACATTTTTAAATTTTTAAATAGAATCTGATCATGGTTCTTGTGTTTGGTTATCTAATTGCTCCTTAACCTCCTATTGAAAAATAAATTGCAGTCAGACACCAAAGTACTTTTTCTCTGACTAGTTCCTGTAATTTGCAACCATCATTGCATTCAAAGCACCCTCTTGCACAACAATTTAAGCCATTTTGATTTAAAAGGGTAAATGAGCAGTACAGAACTTTCCTTGTTTGTCAAGCAGAGTTTAAGCTTTGACCCTTTCATTGCAGTGGATCCTGTTCTGCTGGTATCCTATGGCAAGCAAAAGTCGTTCATGGCACCATATAAAGTGTTATTTTGCTGCCTTTCCATATCAGTGTGTTCAAATACCTGATGGGATGGAGTAGTAGAACACAAAAGACAGAATCATCTCAGTGATACTTGGTGACAGAAGAGGCAGCAGATACAAATGGAAATACAAGAACCTCCATTTTTTACTAGGGGAATAGTCAAACACTGAAACAAATTGCTCAGTGAGCTTGTGGAGTCTTTGTGCTTAGAGATATTAAAAATCCAGATGGACACACTCCTGGACAACCTGCTCTAGCTGACCTTGCACTGAGCAGGGGAGTGGGTAGATCTCCAGAGGTCTCTTCCTCAAACTTTTTGTGATTCTGTGCCCACAGAAATACCAATTTCTCTTAACCATCCCAATTAATCTTTCTCTATCATGACAGGGCAATTATTTTCTTTCCAAGCTCATTATGCCTTTAGGGTGTCAACTTTTACAGTGTGGATGACATTCAGCTGCTAAACATAGGTACATACAGCCTTTTTAGGGTATCTAAGACAACTGAAGCTTGTGACTCTGGGTTTTATAAGACTTGTAGAGGACTCCTGTCCTTCTGGAGTAACAGGTGGAGGCCAAGAGGCCATCATAGTGCCTAAATTCATACAATTTAAATACACTTAGAAGAATGAATGCAGCTAGTTTCTAGCGTTCAAGACATGTCAAAGTCATTTTGACCTGGGCAAGGAATAAACTAATCATCTAAGCAGGAAACAAAAATTACATTGGCCAACTCCTCCTATCAATACATTTTAGTCACTTGTGTTTTGATGTGTCTCACCATCAGACATCTATGGTCACTGTGTGATAAATGACAGAGAAAAATAAACATTCCCAGGGTGCTATTCATCTGACCTGTTCTAAACATATGGTCTAAACATTATGATTCATTGGTTACCTACATTCAAGTCCCTGTTCTGGTGAGTTCTCATCTGTTAACACCAGAAAGAACAGGTTTCATGTCTTGTGAGGCAATGTTTCCTACATATCATGGCCTGGACTGCCTCACACCTTCAGTATTCACCTTCACTATATTACCTTCAATACTCACCAGAAATGTGACACTTGTCCTGCAACTTTGGAATTTTAAATGAGCATAATTGAGTTCAAAGACTTCTGGTTTTCCTCCTTTTTCAGCTAAAAATTCTCAGGAACCAGTCTGAAAGATGCTTGTTTGTGGAGGATCTGGTTGACTTAAATTTTAGCAAAAGTAGACAACTGTTTGTATCACATGGATAGGGTCACTGCCCTAAGCTGGCAGACACTGTGCTTGTCTTTCTTTAACATGATCCATGCAG